TCTCTATTAAGGCTATCCATTCAGGATCCAAATGTTGCAACAGAAACAAAATTATTACAGTTCTGAATATAACGAGAAATTATAAAATATTTCAAACGCTTGCAAAATACGAATTTCAGCGAAGGGATCTCTTTTCAACGAATTTATTATCAAGCTGTACAATCGTATATATATGAAAATTTTTATAACAAAAACATTTTAATCATCTTATTATATTCATCAAATCTATTGTTATTGTTATTATTCATATTACGTAATCTTGTATTATAACCCTTTTTATTAACTGTGTTCACATTTCCTCACGGAATTAGTACTTTTACAAAAACAAAAAATTTTCATATATATACGATTGTACAGCTTGATAATAAATTCGTTGAAAAGAGATCCCTTCGCTGAAATTCGTGTTTTAAGCTTGTAAAATAGTTCACTTATTGATACTACTGTTTATTTCATAAATAAATAATAGAGTTGTGCAACTATAATTCTGCTTGTACTCTCTAATTTATATTTCAATATTATTCCCTAGTTAAATTATTCTCTTGTGGATAGTTATTTAACGTAACTAAATAAAAAAATTTGCGTTACCCACTGAGTTCAAATAGTCACTGGTTTGTGCAATGGTTATGAATTTCCTTTATTATCACTCAAGTTTATCGTTCTCAGATGACAGTCTGATAACGGGAAGAGGATTAGATGTTTTCCGAGAACTTGGTCTATTGGAAGCGGTATATTGTGAATCTAACATCTTTGATGTCATTTTTCCCTCTAAACTTAGCCAACTGAATAAGATTTATTTCAACTAACTACCTATGGTATCCCCAAGCAACAAATTACTCCTCTAGATTTTCACCCTGTACTCACTGCGGAAATGCAGTCTTCTGGAATAATTTCTAATCACTTTTGGATGACATTAACAGCAATAAATTATTTCCCTTAGAATGGTCAAATCAAACCCAAGAGCAGACAAGATCAAAGTTTTGTTTCCACTTAGTATAGTCGCAGATCAGCTTTAAAAGGGAACTTCAATGACTATGTACAACACAATCAATTACTTGCGATTTGTTCGATACACAGACTACTGACACAATACGTCAAACCCTATGATAACACAAGTGTACTAATCGCCCAGGTGTACTGGTCACCAGGCAAAGTGTATTTGTTCATAATCGAAGAACAGTTTACCCTCATTTAAATCATAAGTCGATCAATGTTAGACCACCACTGGAAACTTGGAAGCACTGAACGACCTTTTAGTCCTAGTATGGGACTCCTCAGCAATATGCATCCACGACCGCGAATGCGGGACTAGAACCCAGGACCATCGATCTCACGCGAACGCTTAACCCCCAGACCACTGAATTGGCATCCATCAGTGTTAATGTTTAACTTCAACCAATCTATGGCGTTGTACGACCATCCTCCATCGTCTTCGGTGGATAACTGCCTCATAACTGACACAGTTGTGGGTGCGAGATCGTTGAGGCGCACTGCTGAGGATCCTCATGCTAGAACGAAACAGCTGTGCAGTGCTTCCAGTTTTTCCATGGTGGTCTAACATTGATCGATTCATATTTTCAGTGAAACTCAACAATCTACACAACCCCATAATGAAAACGTTTTATTTGCTGATATCATCTCAAGTAGTCTGATGAGAAGTAACAGTATAAACGTTAGTGCATTAATGTAAAGATTCCTGAATGATGTTTACTTAGCTCACTATCTACTTCAATAAAGCAAATAGTGTTTGTCAGAGTATAACTGACATTTTTTATTGAAATAGTATCAATGGCTGTATCTGAATCTAAAATGTATTACTGACAAGGTTAGGGGGATTATAAACGTGAACAATTAATTTTGCGGCGTCATAATTATTTCTAAAACTGTAAGATATACAAACTTTGGTAATTATATTGTAGTTATACTCTACTTAGTAGTGCACTGGACTAACAGATTTCTTGGGACCGTTGAGAGGAAGCATGTAGAACAAAATCTCATACACCATAATTCAATGATTTAACAAACACAACAATTTCGGATATCAGTTTACTGACAGTAAATAGGTTGACAACAATTATCCAACTGTAACAGCCAATCGTTTGATAAGAAAAAATGTCGATCACTCATTCTTATCTTTTACTGTTTATTATTAGAAGATCAATAGAGAAAAATTCCTAAGAACATTAAACACGTTAAAAACCAGTTAACAGGAGCAAAAGTCATTTGAGTTGAACCATAACAGATAAAATAATGTGCATTATAATATTCTGATGTTCCCACTATGTTTAGAAACAGTCGCCATTGCATTACTGAAATATGATGGCTACCTCATTGTTCTATGGCTAACATTATTCCGGTGCTGATTTGTTAGAAATGAATGATGCTAAAATCTTGGCTTATTATTGAAATATAGTTAACTGTTAAGTAGTCATGGTTTTCTACACAACTAGAGATTCGATTTTGCCAATTGAACGTCGTATACACTAAAAAATCTGAATATTAATCGTCAACCCAAGTCAACCGTTCACAATATTATTTGAACTTGAACATATATTACTGTTACGAAAAATTGCAAGGATGTATAATGGAGTTATAAAATAGCTTTTTGAATAGCTCCAATAACGGATTTTTTCATTGATAACCATAGGAAAAATATTTTAATTTGAACTGAAAAGAAAACAAATATATAAAGATCAATATGAATTTGCTATATTTCGTTGACATTTCTTCAGCTGTATACACTTTATCCACATCTGAAGGATAACGTACTATTACATAATTAAAACTTGCGACTGTGAACAAGTAGAGCGAAAAAAAGTTATCCACTAGGTTTTAAACATGGTTCATACATAAATTACATACCGAGTGTAATCGTATGGCTGTCTAAGTTCAAATCACAGTATGTTTTGGTCCTTAAAAGTAATAGGAAATATGGATAAGTCACAAGGATTTGATCATATGTACAGTGTATAGACACAGAAAAACTGCTGAATGAGTAATATTCAGCCTATAGTACCAGATGAACGTTATAAATTAGTTATGGAGATTTACTAACCACCAAAAACCTCGAAACGAGATGTTTAAAACGAGTAGACAGATACAGATATGTATTCAGTCCATGAAATCATTGACTCCTGGACTGAGTTGTGTAAGGAGTGCATACCTTCTGTTTAGAAGGGTCTCATACACCTCGAGTAACTAAAAAGAAACTTCTGATTCATTCGTGTAAATATCGGTCGAAGTCGCATACATACATTCATTTATCTTCTTTTAGGTAATCAACACCATATTATTCATTTTTTGATTTCATGTGACATTATTTTTCGTTAGTGTTATATTTCCTTTTTGTTATTACACTTGATGTATTGATTTAAAGTTGAATAAGATGAGCCGAAAAACATTTCTTTCTAATTCCAAATTGATTGTACGTTTTAACTTAGTTTGGTGAGGTGTGGTTTAAACATATAACTAACAGACTAATAAATAGATAAGTTATATAAGACCATAACATTGTTGTACGTACCTGAGTTATTACTTGTTCGGTTTTAATTGTTATTTCAAGATATCCTTGATAATGAGACAATAACAAAGATTTTATCTTCAATCACCTTCTTAACAAAAGAAGTAAACTGATACAAAAAGGCTGAATAACTAACAACTGAATTGAACAATTTCGCGCACACAACATACGAAGGTGTGTTGTGTACACATGTAATAAAATCAAGTGTACTTTAGGCAAGATCATGAATTTATGGGATCATTCAAACCAAACTTTACAGTAAATAGCTGAAATGTGAATAATACATATAAATTTCAAGTAAATCTAGTAATTATCTATCAACAAATTTTTATCATATTCCAGACAACTAGTTCAATTCGTTTGTTATAATCTGACATACAAGTTATTTGTCGTATTGAAGCAAGGACATTAAAAGATATGCAGTAACTTGAACATGAATAAATAGTATTTTTCTGGTGGTAAATATTTAGTCTTATAGCCTATAAAAATAAATAATTGCTTTATACAAGTTCTACCATACTTAGTTTAAAACCATCAGTTGTTGTTTTTTTTAATACATAAAATGAAGCTATTTGAATAAGGTTCTCCCCAACAACAGTATTTGTATTTTGTTGGTTTCAACAGTGTAAAATAAAGAAGGTTAATAATTTTTTTTATCAACCCACCGTGACGGTATCTTACCATATTATAAATAATCAGTGAAAATGTCATTTATTTTAAATAAATCACAGCATGGTACTGCTTAATTGGAAGATCATATGATTAAATATAATTCAACAGAGCACAAACGTAAAATAAATACAACACAACAATGATAACACTTCAATTTGTATGAACTAAAATCACTGATAATCATTGACATAGTGTTGTCTCTATCTTGGTGGTAACTGAATTCTGTTGATCAATTTGTTGTTTCAGGATTTTGATACATTATATATCTTGAAGGAGAATTTTAGTCAACAAATGAAGAGTATACAGTAGTATATTTGTTTAATATCCAGTTACTGAATAATGTACTATCTCAGTTTAATCAAACAATCAGTTTAATCGTTGCAATGGAGCAGGTCATATAGGCCACACAAAGCGAGATCTTTCGAAGTGCATCTCTGAATATTAATTTGCCCGGCTATCTAAAGGACTACAAAGCTCTATTCTAGAACACTTATTTAATTCTGGTCACTATGATTTACCAAAATTCTCCTTCAACATCAATTATACAGTCAGAAGAACGGATTCAGAAGGAATACAAATTAAAAACTTCCGTACAACAGAGGTCTGAAATATCCACTAATCCCAACGCAACGTTTGTATACAAAAACGATACGTCTTACCTCTCATTTTTTTATAGACTACTAATTTTAATTAATTAATTATACAGTTTGTGTAATTCAAAATCAAGTCATCTCTGTTTTAGGCACTAAAACTGATTACGACTGGCCTAACAGATATTACTACTTTAGTTAGAGCATAAAAATATATAAACTTGTTAATTAATCATATAAGTTTATTCGTGATTCAATTCCAATTATTATTGTAATGAAATTCAATAATGCCAACAAAGATAACTATAATAACGAGAGATCAGCTTATATGTAAAATCATATTAAAATACATATATATGTATATTATTCGCATAAAAATTGCCGAACTAGAATAAGCAATTAATAAATTATGGAAATGTTCATGATTGAAATGCGTTTTGACTACTGAAACGAAATAAAACACCCAATAGCATAATGCATTCCATTTAGGTATGAGACCTAAGAAAAAGTACAATGTTTTGCTTTTTTTTTGACATGAAATAAGGACAATAAAGAACAAATGAATATGAATCAATATGAAGTAAAATAATGTTGGGTTCGAACTAAGACAATAAATAACAAACACATGATTCGAATTTTTTTTTTAAAAGGGAAAAAAACAAAGTTGACTAATTTAAAACAACTAAGAGAAAAATATTTGGTCAGGGTAAATGTTGATCGAAAAAGAAATGCACAATCATTTGACCTAATAGTAACTAATGCTTATCATATTCTCAAACTGGAGGCAGATAAAGTAAATGACGCATTTTTGATAACACTGATAATGAACCGGTCATGAAAGCTTTGTCAGATTTTATTGCGTTTATTACATCTAAACGACCTTCTACCACATCGGTTAAATCGTCAATATGTATGAAAAGTGTAACATTTGCTGGTTGTTTATCAACTGGTAGACAACCTGAACCGACAGTTCCTGTTTAAAACAGCAGATTATTTAAAGAAAAAGAGAAAATTAACAAACCAGGAATAAAGCAAAAATATTCATGACGAAATAACTTAAGATTGAATTTGCAAGATTATCCACAATCTGTTCGGTGAATATGCAAATTCAGATCATAAAAAGACCTTTTTTACAAACTTTTGGCGGACAATAATTCTATTTATTTGTATTGGTTGTTTAAATCTTTCCATTGATGTACACGACTGCAATTGACCAGTCTCTTATTGGTATATTCTCAGACTGTGTGCATTGCCTCGACATTTTTATCATCTTCGAATTATTTCCTGCTTGTCGCAATCTTGCTTACTTACTTACTTACGCCTGTTACTCCCAATGGAGCATAGGCCGCTGACCAGCATTCTCCAACCCACTCTGTCCTCGGCCTTCTTTTCTAGTTCCATCCAATTCTTGTTCATTTTTCTCATGTCTATTTCCATTTCTCGGCGTAATGTGTTCTTTGGTCTTCCTCTTTTCCTTTCGCCTGGAGGATTCCATGTGAGGGCTTGTCTTGTGACGCAGTTGGGTGCTTTCCTCAATGTGTGTCCTATCCACTTCCAGCGCTTTTTCCTGATTTCTTCCTTCGCTGGGATCTGGTTTGTTCTCTCCCACAGTAGGTTGTTGCTAATAGTGGCCGGCCAAAGGATCTGAAGTATTTTGCGTAGATAACTGTTAATAAACACCTTTATTTTCTGGATGATGGCTTTCGTAGATCTCCAGGTTTCCGCCCCATACAGTAGAACTGTCTTGACATTTGTATTGAAAATCCTGACCTTGGTGTTGGTTGACAGTTGCTTTGAGTTCCAGATGTTCTTCAGTTGTAAATATGCTGCTCTTGCTTTGCCGATCCGCGCTTTCACATCTGCATCAGACCCACCATGTTCATCAATGATGCTGCCCAAATACGTAAAGGTTTTTACATCTTCCAAATCTTCTCCGTCAATTGTGATTGGATTGGTGCATTCTGTGTTGTATCGGAGAATCCTGCTTTTCCCTTTGTGTATATTGAGACCTACTGCTGCTGAGGCTGCTGCCACACTGTTCGTCTTCTCCTGCGTTTGTTGTTGCGTTTGGCAATCTTGCTACCTCCGTTTTAATCGTACAAAACATGTCAGACATCTTACCTTTCACCTGTTTTATGGCTTGATGTTTATTCATATCCGCATTACTATACTAGGTTTTGAGAACAACGTGAAGTCACAAAGGGCTATAACGTAGTCTAACATAAGTCTAAGTCGATGGCAGATTGACTAGCTTTACACGCAGACTCAGTAAAGCGGTATATATCACTGCATAGACTACAAGGATCATTTTCTATAATTTTTTACCAGTGTAAAATAAAACATTTTGTTAAATTATTCATCAATATAGATGGTGGTTATCAGTGTAATCCAGGTCGCAAATGAGCCACATATGCTGAAAAGAGACTGACTAATTTAAGTTCTAAACATCAATGGAAAGATCCAAACAATCAATACAAATGAAATATTCATTATTAAGTCTAGTGAATAAGTGACTATTAATTAGTGGAAAAAAGGTTGTCCTTGAAGACAATAACCTCTATTTATCACCTTAAAAGTGTGAAGAATTCTTTAAAGAAAGTTGCCGACCAAAAGAGATTTAATAACTTAGCTTACCAGGAATAGAATTGGTAGCTTAACGGTCAGGAGGTTCAACCTTCAACCAATAGTTCACGGATTTGAGTCCAGCTCCGTCTACTTCGGTTTGGGTAGAGCGGTTGTATCGCTAACCATCCACTGCTCAAAATCCCAAGAGTACACGAATCAGTACTTGACAAATGAGTTACATCAATACCGATAAGTTGAAAGTAATTTCATTTTAGAAAATAAATATGAATCAATGTTCAGTTTAAAAAATGGTTTGAGCTGTTATTTTCTGATTCAAAATAGAAAAGCACTTTTTTTAACTGGTTAGTTTAATCACATTATTAGGTTTATATTTCTGTCTAATACACCTCATTCGATTATGGGAGGAAAATTGAGGGAACATGGTACAAACGAATAACCTGAACAACTAAAATACTTTAGTGGAAACACTAGAGTTCACACAGAATTTAAGTAAGACTCCTCTACTATTTTCCCGATTCGCTAAATACCCCTGATACGTTGAAAATAGAGGAGTTAGCATATCTCGTTTTGAGTTTGGTAAGAGCACGAAATACTAGGATCCTATCCTGTTAACATACAATTACAACTGTATGATCCGACTACATGCTTTAAGTTTAAACACAAAACTCTTTCTAACTACATTTTTACCCAAGTCACACATTTTATGTTTAGATGAACAATATTAACTCAAGATACATAGTTGTAACGCTTGAAAATCGTGACCAAAATCACTTGCATAAGAAAAAGAAATGAAAATATTATGAAAACAGAAACATACCAGTACCAGCATCCAAATAAAGTAGAATAAAATTTCGATTTTCCACTGAATTCAATAATGGTAAATGATCTTTGACAAATTTGTTCTCCATTGATATAACTAATTGTAATGATGCACAATCAAGAGCTTGACAAGCTATATTACTATTAAGTAGACCTTGAGCACGTGTTATTGCTTTCGATAAAGCAGGATAATTATGTGAAATGCGTAATTGTGACAGAGTATTTAAAGACTTAAAACTATACTGTTTTTGTACTTTATTTATTAGTGGTGTAGTTTCAACAGAACTAGATTCATTAGTTATTGTGGTAGTTGTTATTTCTGGGTCTGATATTATGTCGGTGGTATCACATGACATTGATGTTGAATTAGTTTGTTCGGAACCATTAGACAAATTGATTATTTGTTGTTCTACATTCGATTGACTAGTGGGTGGTTTTATTAGCGGTTTATCACCTCGACTATTCAGCAATACACATGATAATTGATGCAAGTGTTTAGTAACCAGTTCAATATTTGACTTGGAATTATGCGATGGTGGCGGACGGAGTAGAACTAAACCATCACTGGAAACAATGAATAATAGTAGAAATTAAAGTGTAGAACAGATTATTGTTACTCTACACAAGTAATAAGAAATGTTTACTAAATATTTAATGACCTTTGATATTGTTTAAGAAAAAACCCTATAAATAAACATTAGAATACAAACAAGTAAGTGGGACTGATGAGTGGACCGTGGATACTTTTGAATCTCGTAGTTTACATCATGAACTAATAACAGTTTTAAAAAAACCCATTGAAAACTACGAAGCACTGAACAGTATGTGAATCCTCACAAGTACGCGTTGATGACCCTGCCAAGAATTGGATTCAGGATTTAGGTAACGCAATTAGTACTCACTCCTTAGATTACTGAGTTAGGATTTAATGATTTACATCTCCAATTTTAATCGATTCGGAGTGCCGAGCAACTAACTTCCGATGTGATTGGTGGGTAAATGCCTAGCATCCATCAGAGTTAAACGCCGCTGGTTATGGCTTATAACTAGAACAACAGGAAAGACCTTCAGAAAATGATCACTAGTAACATATCACGATAATGAATAATATATTGTACAACCAATTAAAAGAGTTGATTTGCTGAAATTTTATTATTATTTGTAAAGCAAAAAAATATAATTTGTTCCTTGGGGGGGGGGGTAGAAATCCAATTCAAATATTTCGACAAATAATTTACAACTATTGTGTCTATATGACATAGTTCGTTCTGAGGGACATTTCAAAATATGTTTTTAAAATTCAACGTTAAGAAAATACATGACATAATAGTTTATGGCTAGCTGGATAAAAATAAATACATTTGTGAAACATTTCTCAAACACTTACAATAAACATTATATGCCCCCAAGTATATATATATATATATATATATATTCCGTCTCATGGTTTTAATATGAATTATGTAGAACAAACAGTAAAATCAGACACACGGGCATAAAGAAACTTACATAGTAACTTCTTTCACATGAATGCCGTATGGACCACAACGAGAATTTAATGTGCCCTAGTAACAATGATGATAAATAAATTGGACAACCAACAATCACTAGTCATCGAATACATTTAATAGGAATTTAGAAATATATATCAATATTTTAACTATTTTTTCAAGTTATTGTAATTGTCAGTCAGTCAGTAACAACGTAGAACTTCGTACGTACGTACATCAGTTCGAGTTGCCATACCACATTAGCACAGAGATGCAGTTGTCGATTCAAATCCCGTAGTGGTAGAGGTAGCAAAAGTATAGGTAGTAATTGGAAAGATTAGGGTTTGAAGGTGTTATTTAAAGAGTATAGTACAGTGAAATAAATTTGGAAAGAGAAAAAAGAAAGGGACATGAAGAATTCAGAAGATTAGAATTTGGGAGAACACAGAGAGTGGATGCACCTGCGCCATTGCAAACGATTTTGAGCCATGTAACTGTACTGTAAAAAGAACTAAACATTGTGGATAGGGGTTCAGCAATTGAAGAGTTTATCATTTTTAAAGGCAGAATCGAATCCGGTTCCACATAATTTGGTTTTGATAGCCAGGTATTATGATAAGTTTACGCATAAGCAGCATGACTTAAGGCTGAATACATGAAACATGTACTTGATAAACAAATGAGATTAATTATTAATTCATTAATTTAAAAAGGATGATGATATGAAAAATAAGGGAATAATGTAATGATTAGTGTAATGGAATTGTGGATATTATTGAATCGCATAGGTTGCATCATGAACAACCGTTAATTGGACTATAGCAGCTCTCCTGCAATCGATTTTGATTATGGTTACTCGAACAATAACAACGCCTTTAAGTCTTTGTACTATTATGATCACTATCTTGTATGCATAAATGTGTACGCTTGATCACATGACAGCCTACGCATATATCTCTCACTAGCTTTAATGTTGATAGCTTAGATATCACTGGATGAATAATTTTTCCCCATGTATATATACTCGAATCCTATTATTGGCCTTTACCTTGCCCAACTGCACCTTGATTTGGTTTGACTATAAATTTACCTCTGTATTCGCTTGCACACACATATTCGCCTCTCTGTTTGAAATTCACTCGATGTGTTTGTAGCTTTTTTATTTGAGCTATTCGCTAATAAACTGTAGTCTCCGCTTCTTGTTGCCTTCTGATTTCAAACACAGTTGGGATTTATATAATAACGGTTATCAAGGTGATTGATTAACGCAGTTAAGCAACTACAGGATAACCATTGATAACTACAAAGCAATGAACATCTGTTTCATCCTAGTATGAGACTCTTCAATAGTGCCTTTTCACAACCAATCAGGAATCTTACCCAAGACCTTGCAGTGAAATACTAATCTTAGGATTACTATATCAAGTGGCTTATGTCTCTAACTTCAATCAATTGATTATATTGAGCAACTATCCTCCAATGCCATTAATGATATTTCTCATACCTGAAAATAAGTAACTAATGAGCAAATGATTATTATTAGCATAAAAGGTTTGTGGAAATAAGTATCAGATAATAGATAATAGTTGTAACCTATTACCAAATTCAGTGTTTCATAAGTGTGTCATTAGTGTCCGACTCTACTTTCAATTGAATTGTAAGCTAAGTATTATTTCCGAACTTCCAAAAAACTAGACATTATTACCAAGGCATGAACTATATTTCGTATTTTATGATGTATAAACCTACTTCCACAATGTTTCCAATCAGAATGAATCCAATAAATTCTTTTCAATTCAAACTTCAATATATAAATAATATTTATTGAACAAGACTTATTTGTCATAAATCAATTCTTTTCTTTATTTTGAGCAACGTATTTGTTTAAAAACATAAGCATTGATAAAAGGAGGCATCAAATATACATGCGCCACACTTTATTATTTGGTTTGTGTAAAAGCTGAAATACTGCCCAGGCGGACAAATTGAAAGATGATTTTAAGTTATGAGTATTAAAGTATTTTTAAAACAAACAATGAGTAGGTACAATCATTGTCTGAAACACGAATACTGAATTACAGTTAATGATTGTTAGAAATAAAACGAACAATAATTTAATATAAATTATATATAATAAAACAAATAAAAATTTTAAAATCTTACTTTTGTTTCATTAGCCAAGTCAATTTTTGCATTACCTTGTTCTAAATAATACCATTCTAAATGAGTTAATGCTGATAATAAACATAATTGAGTTTGTGTAGTAACAATATCCAATGGGCTTTTATTAGTTATACTAAATGCATAATCTGATTCTAATAAATAAAATATTATTGAACATGTCACTTCTACAACAGCTTCATCTTTTGTACCACCCTAAAAGGTAAATAAAGTTGTTTTTTTTTAAAAATAAAGAATAACAAAGGTTAAGTTCAAAGATGAAAACAATAGTTTTGATGAGCTTAGTTTCTCATGATCAATGAAGTATAGATATTGATCTCAATTTTTTAATAGTGTAAAACATAACAACACTGAAGTTATTGATTTAACACTGCGAGATTCTGACCATTTTCATGTAAAAATTTGAAGAAATCCAAAAAAGTTAATTGAATTAACCAGATTGAACCATTGAACAACTCTATCAAACTGACACTTTATGATTAAGAAGGTTAAATTTTATTTTTTGAAATTCATAGGGGATACTGTGATATCAGGACGAAGAATAAGTGAATAGTAACTACTAGGATCGATTTGTGAACTGTTATATATATATATATATATATATATATATATATCTTATTGTATAAACATTAAGTAACTATGGGTTCTAATCTTGACGAATATTCGTATAAAATATTACACATATATTCATATTCCTTTTATTATAAGCATCCGTTTGATCTATTGACTATTATTATGCGACTTACTATCCTTAAGATATTCCTAATTTGTTAGTTACGATCTCTCACAATCACAGTCAAATTTTGGTTTGATCTTATATAATTGTTATTTTCTGTTTCATGGTATGATGCGGTCTGGTTTGTTTGTATGTAAACCACATATATCTGAAATACATGATTCGTATAACAGAGGCTAATAATGATGTTCTGGACTGAACCAAATGGGTTAGGAGAGAAGTTACTAACTCGGAGGTTCAATAAGAAATCGGAGTGACTCTAGGCTGTTCGTACTGATTTATGAGTCACTGGTCTGTTCAATACGTCAGTGTTCTAATCGGCGATAAGTCACGTGATATATTCGCAGGGCAGAAGTGCTATGTTTGAAGAGATTACGTGATCACTTAAACATGCAAACGAAACGAAGACTCGGCAACACAATGACCAGATAAGCTAACTACTCCGATGCGTCGCAAACCCATTAACTAGAGAGAGAAGCGCACGTTCAGAAGAGTGAAAGTGTGCTCCAAGCGACCAGAAGCACGGTCAACAACAACCAGCGCAACTTAAGCGTATTTATACAGCAAAAAATATCGTTCGGAAGCGCTACAAAACAGCATATTAAAAGAAGCCATGAACCAATGACATTTAAGGTCCTGTCAAGTAGGAAAAGCTACATGAAGGTAGAAATGAGTGCTTTTGGCGCGAAAACAAGAAATGCAACTTTCCAAAGTAAAATTACAAATATAAGACATTTACTAAGTGAGTTCTTTGACCCTTTATGTCAACATAGAACCGTGTCTACAAATTAGGATGTGTCGATTGTGATGCCTTCTATATTGGAGAGTCATCTCGAGAAATCTTAATTCGAGCCAAAGAATGTATTAGGTACACAAAGAAATTACATAATAATCCGATAGAACTGGAAATCGGTAAAAGCACTTCATGCCATTTTTAACAACCACCGAATCGATATCAAAAACACCAAAATATTACAAAAAGGCTTTTCCAACAACAAAGAAGGGAGAGTAGTTGAAGCTTTCCACATGATGCTTAATCCTACCGCTCTCAATAGAAAAGAAGGCCCCACTACCTAATCCACTATCCGACTTGGACTATCTATCTATCTATCCAAGCTACTATGTTTGATATTATTCACATTTCGCACTATTATCGTACATACAAACTAAACTCTATCCTTTCTCACCTCTAAGGTCACATTTTTCATCCTTGACCCTGCAAACACACACAAATTTACATACATGTCGCTTATAAATAACGTAAACTGAAATGATATGGCACTGATGTACTCAGACCTGTTTTTTGTTTCTTTGTACTATTTAAACTTGGATTAATTTTGATTTGGTTATTTATTCTCTGAAGAAAAGGGCTTACACTGAGTCACGAAACGCCAAAAAATCTAATTTTCTGCTCATTGGGATATTACTAATATATTATTTTTATTTATAACAATCTACCCAATGCTCAATTTACTTGAAATTACCAAGTCAAACCTTAGTAATGGCATCTACAGTTCACATAAGTGTTTAGTTCGGCATGTATTATACCCATTCATTAGCATATTTATCCCTTTGAAATTTGTTCGTTTTTTCGAAATCGTTACCAGATGGTAAAGTGCTAATAGATGTGTTAATTACTGTCACTCTCAATTTTTTAAGGAATGAAGATTTGCTATCTGGAAACTACTAAGCTATAACTCAGCGACTTAAAGACAACAGTCTCACAGCCAAACTTGAAGTTCCTAGTTTCTATCAGTCTTTGCAAGGTAGTCAGTGAGTAATATTGAGGAGTCCCAAACGACTAACCGGTACTTCCTGGTTTTTATTAGTTTCTCAGCAGTTAACTACTCGTGATTAAGGCATTAAACTAATCTCCACAATCCATTTAAATGAATATTATTATTCTTAGTCGTCAATTATTGTGTAACAACTTAAGTCATTTTACAATTGTTTTTGGTCAATTTAGTAAACTATTTAGTTTTTCGGTAATATATATTGGAAAACTAATCCTGTGTCATCTGAAGTTTTGAATAAATATACTGCGATATTTCACCAACTTATCTATATATTTACTGTCACGTCATGGTGTTGAACTTTTCAAAATAATGATTCACATTACATTAAAGAATCTGACTCAATAGAATATTATAGTTAATATATGACGATTGTTGAATTTTATAGTTTGCATCCTGAATTCACTTTAGTTAGATGTCTATTGAAAACTGGGTTCCTGAGTTTAAGACAGCGTGAAGTAGTGGATAGGGACTGGTACGAAACAGATATTTAATTCTTCCTGATTTTTAATGATTATCTAACTAGGATTATTTTGTATTGTAAATTATTAAAGTATAAATGAAATAGTAAAACTGTATACATAAATACCATTGATTACAATGTTGACTTTATTCATTATATCTATTTAACCAAACTAAATAAAATGGAAAACGTTTGAGTCAGTTGTACAATCAACAAATAAACATTAGAAATTGTATGAATCAGAACAACACTTGCTCATTTATTTATGACTCTGCTTGCTTAAATTTTTGTTTACGAAAACGCAACAATAATATAGTTGAAGTTAAACATTAACACTGTTGGATGCCGGCTCAGTGGTCTAGTGGTTAAGTGCTCGCAAGCGAAACCAGTAGGTCCTGGGTTCGAATCTCGCAGGGGGCGAGGTCGTGGATGCGCACTGCTGAGGAGTCCCACAATAGGACGAAACGGCCGTCCAGTGCTTCCAAGTTTTCCATGGTGGTCTAGCTTCAACTGACTCATGATCTTAACCATTGAAATAATATAGAATTTAATTTTAACAAATAAGCCTGAAATTTGAAAAAAGACTAGTTTTTAATAAGGTTTTTAGATCTAACAACAGTAACGATATAAGATTTCTTTCAGATTTAACTAACAAACAAAAATGGAAAATGTGTAATTAGATTAAATTGTGTTAAAAAAAAGCATAATTTATAAACTATTGGAAAAGTTTGGGGATAAGCTCCAAGTTGTCAAGTCATCTAAGAGCGCCGTAGTCATTAGTTACGGTTATGTTTTCGTCTAGTTGATCACTCCATCGTAGATATTTTTGAGTAATCTCTATTATATAATTAATTGGAGACATAACTTTTGGTGTTTTGTAACTTTTCTATCATCATGAGTAAGTTCACTACACTTAACACGCCAGTAGCATGATGGAGTGGATTTTCGTGGTAGAAAACTTTATATTTTCCCTGTAAGCCAGTGAAAATGGTAGAGAACGAAATACACCCTCCAGTAAGGATAACGACAATGTAAATGACAATTCCCGCTTCATTTTGGTTGGTTGCCAGATGGAGGATCGAAATTGCAAACGTATTATACATCATAATCTTGGTTCGATGATTATCGACTTTGTTACCAATCTTAGAATGTTTTTAGAGCCCCATATAATATCAAAGTCAACTATAAACCTATAAATATCGTTGTTTTTGTACTTAAATTACTGGGAAATTTTTAAGCGGTTAGAAAGCCAGTATCACAGCGTTCAAGTACCATAAACACGACAAATACTTTTTTTTAAAACATCTATAAAACGAATAGTCACTCACAGATACAGGTTTAATTTTTACTAGTTGATCATCGAGAGTAATTAAGTGGTAACGATCACATATAGGCAACAGAAATACCCAACCTGGAGGGAAAAGAATCAAAAGTAATGATAACGACAAGATAATTTGTCAGATTAAAGCTATGAATTTATGTAAAATTTGCCAGTACGTGAGAATAAAGCAATACGACCAAATGCATTGCATAGACTGAAAGAAACAAACACGAGAAAACACTATATCAAACGTAGTGGATATCACCTTCATATACAGTAGGAAAAAAGGAACATACGTTATCACTCATAAAAATACAAGCAATCAACTATTGATACAATATTTGATCGGGAAAATGTTATTTTTCTGAAATAAGGCAATGCCAAGATTGTTAGAAGCATGAAATTCGGCTCAATTTACAATTAAACCAACGGAAACCCAATTTGTTCATCCGTAAGGGAGAAGCCAGTCAATCAATCAGTCGAAAGTTAACCGAACGCAACAGTAAACAAGAATGAAAAAGCATATTAGGATTAAAATAAATCTATGAGAAAGTCAGTCATATACCAGGTTATGAAAATAAAACTATTTCGTACTTGTGGAGTAATTCGGAAGAGGCCACTATTTGTTTGAAGTAGGCGCTGATAATATTGTCTAGAACGATAATGGTGTAGCGAACGAGAAATCAGATATAAGCAGTACGTAGCACCACAGTGGAAGCTTTATAATAAAATCATACAGTTCACGGGATGCGATAACATCAAGCGAATCGAATTAAACTGTTAGTTTCTATGATTTTGCGTCTATTTGATGCAGCATCATAAATACTAGTACTCTGACAAAATCAGAAATGAGAAAAGATAAATGGTCAGGTCATTGAATGCCGAGTCACATAAACTACTGGGTTATAACTTAGTAAGAAAGCTAATTAAGAAGAATAAATAGTTTAAAGGATAGAGCGGATAATCTTATCAAGTCGTCATATTTTAGAACGGCTTAATAAAATGAAAACCAATTAGGGAAATAAAATGTTTAAGTAATGTAAAGAACGCACACAAAAATGTTTGACAGTGAAAACACTGAGATTTTGGACAAAGGCAAAACGATGAAGATCAGGACATTCCTAATAGCTTAGCATTTAGGACAGTTAGTGGTCAATATAAGGAGATAGACTTAATTTACCAGCCTGTTGGAAAAAACCATAAACAACCGTAATTACAAGAATTAAGTCGAGGAAGGAGACAATCAAAATAAACACGTAGATAATGACAGGACGTGACATCAAAGGCAATCAAATTCAGGGTCGACAAATCAGGCTGCTTGCTAGTCAAATACGGAGGAATTTGAATAGCTCACATTTATCTGAAGCTGGTGTTGATATGACCTAGATAGATAGTGAAATTGAAATTAAATAATCGGATTGAATGGAACACTAGCGTTTTTTATTATGAAAGTTTCATAAACTATTTAGATCCATCAACAACGGTTTTATAGTTTTTGAACGTTCTTTACAACTTAAGAATTAAATTATTCAGTAAATGCATTAAAGTGTGCGATTTATGCAGTGTCATTTTACTGATTTTTTAGAAGACAGAAAATATGTCTTTAGGTAGAACGAATAAGATAGACACAGATACTACAACGAATTCATGAGATGCAAAACACTATGACTAATGAATAATTTGATGTTTTAGGTTAGTTCTACATCATGGTTACCGCAGCAGTAACGTTGTCCTACGATTAAAATAACGTGAAAAACTTTATAGTAATAAGGAGAATATGCAAATGCAACAAATAAAAATACTTGTACCTTAAACGGAATGGGCAGTACTTGTAGAAATTTTGAAGTGAAGCAAATAATCCACAAGATTTAAATGTGTTCGTGTGTTTTAATAACAATTGAAGTGATTTTATCACACATATTTTAGGTCACTTTATATCTATACACGTCGTTAGGCTGGCATTCCACCCCTAAATTATTTGTTGAGAAACATTATAATGTATGATAATGAAAATATTTATGAACCCTATGAAAACGACTGAGTTTTTCATCGTAAATTAGCACTCCTCTTAACAATAAAATATACATTTAAACAATAAATGGTGCAAAAACAATCATGCATAGAAGAATTACCCAGTACTTCTTGTATTTAAATGTCTTGATTCACAAATTCATTATGCCGAATCTCATAAGCAGTCGATACAATATTTCATGATAAAAACGTGACTACTTAACCAGATTTAGTAGTTAAATGAATAATATTAAACATTCGTTACCAGTGGAGTTCAACCAGGTCTGTTGTGAGATAGGAACTCACTGAAGACAATGGTGTACGGTAGCGCAACTTCGTGGATTGGTTGAAGTTAGACATTAACACCGTTGGATGCCGGCTCAGTGGTCTAATGGTTAAGTGCTCGCGCGCGAAGCCAGTAGGTCCTGGGTTCGAGCCCCGGGTGGTGCGGGTTCGTGGATGCGCACTGCAGAGGAGTCCCATACCAGGACGAAACGGCCGTCCAGTGCTTCCAGGTTTTCAATGGTGGTCTAGCTTCAACTGACTCATGATTTCAATCTGTGAATATTAAAAATGTCCAGTTTTGCTCATCTGTATTTCATTGAAATCGTGAAACGATCAATGTCAGAATACTATTCAAAACCTTGAAGCACTAGACGGTCGTTTCGTCCTAGTGTGGGATTCCTCATCAATACGCATCCAGGGAACCACATGCGGGACTCAAACTTAGGAATTTCGGTCTCACACGAACGCTTAACCTACAAACCACTGAACGAGCATCCAACGGTGTTAACGTCTATCATTAACCAATCCACGATATTACGCAACTATCCCCCATTGGTTTCGGTGGGTAACTGCCTCACAACCGACGCTGTTGAACTCCACTGGTCATGGGATCGAAAACGAATACTGAGGACGAGATCCATATTGCGATAAAACGGCCGCCCAGTGTTTCCAGGTTTTCAATAGAGGTCTAACATTGATCGGTTCATGATTTTAATGAAGTTCGACAATCTCTACTAGAAAGTGTCCATATTTATTGAAATCATAGATTTTTAGTAGTTCTCCGATTTAAGAGAAGTATTTTACATTTACATGAGCGATTTTCGATAAAACGTTCTGCGAAGAAATATCTAAACATGATTAAATTATTTAAATAAAGCATCATTATCCAGATTTGACATAATGATTTGTTATAACGCTCGGAGTTCCCTCGTATTTACGAATGGGATATCTAAACTAAATTCCTTCCCAGTGTCTGTTCTACAGGACATCAACACAATTCAGATCAAGAACATGTGATTAGTCTGACTAGAAGGTAAATATATTTCCACACCAAAAACCGACAACAATCCAACAACAATCAATGATAATAATAAGGATAGGAGAATATAGAACTCATTTAACGCCTGTCAGACTATCTACTAGTCTGACTAAGCAAACAACCAATCATTCTCATTCTCGCCCACACATAATTTCAAATAAGTTAAGAATCTACAAAAATTAAATCAACAACAGCAGTACTTATCATACTCAACAACCATCAAATCGATGTAAAGAGAAATATTCAGATAATCCGAAAAACGTTTTTTTAACTAAAAGGAAATGTGAGCAACTTTTATGCACTGTTTAGTACTAGTGCGTTCAAAAAAAAAGAAAGAGCTACTAATTATCTGACCGAATTGTATCGTATATTTCACAGTTACATTTAATCAAATGACATGACAGTAAGAATTAGGTCTGATAGCTAGACATTAATTTCAATGGAGATTGAATGACTTACAGTTTTCATTTGCTAAGTTTATTAATGTATTAACAGATTTCTATATTTTTAGTTTAATCCTTTATACACAAACCAATTAATTTTTTAGACGATAATACCTCTTCTGCTGGACAGTTGTTTGACCGCCTAATTACTTTATAGTTGGAGACTTACATCGACAGTTCTATTCTATCAGTATCCACAGCTCTGCCATATTGTATCATTGCATTCTATTCATTCACTTTAACTATTACAAACCTTTTAAATCCCTTACTATATCACTTAGTTGAGATCAAACCGACAATACAAGTGCAGACTAAACTTTGATGATCACATTTATTCAAATTTGTCTACAAACGCATCAATATGCACAAAACGTTTCTCATATATAATCACATTTCCCCCAAACGAGATGAGATTAGCACAATCAAACTTGTTTACTTGTGCTAATTATTTGACGTACATATGATAAACATATAAATGTAGAGCCATGGTGAAAAACTGACTAACAATAAATTTCCTCGCTTTAATTGTCTTTTTAATTAAATGAATATGAATTCACAGTTCACTTTAATTAAAATCAGTAAATACTCATTATTATTTGACGTAGGAGTGATAGTTGAGTTTGGAAAATCTCAGTTACTACACCACTACCTCCAGTTACAACTAAATAGACAACCACAACTCTTTAGCGATCAGACTACGAGACGTGACAGATAATTAGGATTTATCTATTATACTATAATCGAGTGATTGATAAAAATGAGACTGTTCACATACACTTCAACCTGCTAACTAGGTTGCTACATCCTAATAAAAAATAGTCAATTGAACTGCACTTAAATTAAGTATGAATAGATTTGATTAGCCGACTATGCTATTTGATAAGAGTATGATGACTACAAATTGTTTAAGGTTCCTAAGCTCTTCTATTACCCTCCAGGCTAAATCTACACAGCGACTTGAACACGAGAGAAAAGGAGAAAAATATGGAAGAAACGCTTTACTTTAAAGGTTTGCTTATATGCAGAAAATCTGGTTTTTATAGTATTTTAGATGTCCTTGAGTTTCCTGAAAATTCTAGAACGCTACTAAACATAGTAGCAGTATAAGTAATCATCCAATCAGAAACTCGACATGTGACTTTTCACTTCCTATATCTTTCTGGCGAAACTTCTAGTGAACACTAATTGGATAAGATGCTTCTCAGCGTTTTCAGAGCCTTTCCTGGACTTTTTTCGGGGAGTTTTCTGGATCGCCCCAACACTTGTATCATTAGTTTTATAAAATAGAGGGACTATGACTAACACTGGAATCAACGACGTGTGTTTTGTCATATTTATGACGCGCCAGCTGGATGTAGTAAATCATGGTGTTGATATTTACAATGGGACTCGAACCATGTACTTTTCACTTCAAATGGAAATTTTTTATCTACTGAACTAGAGCCCAGACAGCCACCGGCTTATTCGGTGCGTATGGTGTTTGTATCAATATAATTAAGAGATTGACTTAGCCCGGTGTTGATAATCGGGACTAAATTTTGATTAGCGTTTGCTAACATATATGTATCCTATGTGAATCGTCTCGTTATAGTTAATTTGTCATGGATTCCACTGCTAACCACAACACTTCCAAAAAAATGGTGACGATGCAATATGATCAGAATATACACACCAAAAGAGGCTGAAAAAATTCAGCCTTGAATACCAACAACGGGATAATTCAAACCTTTCCTAATAAGGCTTGAATCATTACTTTGAAAAAAAACAAACTATATTTAACATACCAGGTCCTTTAGATTTCATTCGTTTTCCGAGTCGAAATACAATGATTCGTTCACTTTTCGCAAGACGCTAATAACAGAAGAAACGTCGTACTTTTAGAGCAAATTAATTTCAGTATATTTTATCATACGAGTTTATACCGAATCATAAAACTTCAGGAAAATATAATCAAGTGTAAGGGGAAACTCTTCATTATTCTATGCACTGTTTAGTTAAATTAAAAGCCAATCAACAAAAATGACATATGATTTACAATATAAATGAAAGACTTCTATATGTTGGATTAATTCAAATCTATTCACAATCATCTCATCATTACTTCTCTCTACATTTATCTAAGAGGAGTACTAATGTAAAGACCTATCTGGAAAGGAAGGAAATTAGAAAGCTAATGAACCAGCTAATGAACTGGGAAACAAAAGTGATGATGAACGATAACTTATTGATACCCCGAGTATTAATAATAACCACGTACGATGAGACTGGAACTCAGTGCCTTACATCGCTTCAAATGCTTAGTGTTTTATCCACTAAGATACTGAGTCCAGACTTAAGTATAAAGAAACTAACATTCTTTCCCTACCTTGTTATGATCTAAACGAATTTTTTAATTTTATATAGAATATAGTAGGTCGATTGATCTGTTAATAAGCATTTGATTTATTTCAACACAAATCTCACAAAAAATGGTGTAATTTGAAAATCCACCCATAATCACTGCACATTTACAAAATCTATTTTGGTCTTGGAATCAAAATGACCAAATTCATACGTTTACTTATCATTCTAAAATTTATTAAATTCCGAGAACTGTTAAGCAAGTTTATAGTTTTAGAAGATCAATTCGCTTAAAAATGAAAGACACAAGAAAACAGCTAAACTAAAAATACTAATGACGAAAGTTCTCATGTGAACTGAAAATAGTTTGCATTATAATACACCATATAAAAAGATCTGTAATCAACCCACCTTCACATAAAACCAACACAAGAATGGAAAGAATATAATCAATAATAAAGCTGATAGGACAAGGAATGAATAATGTAATCGACTGTTTACATTTTTGGAATATCCAGTATCCATAAAATCAAAAATATCTAATTGACAATCTATAACTAGAATTACAAAAAAAAATGATGAAACGAATATAAAGTGATGACCAGAAATATCTTACAATTCATCTTTAATAATCAAAACAAATTCTCTACAATGATATATGCCATTTATAATAAATTTCGTGGTTTGCAACACAAATTGATCTTAGATAACCATTGAAAACCACTCTTTGTGTTCTCCCAAATTTTGATCTCCTTATTCCTCCTTGTCTCTTATTTTTCAATTCCCAAATTTATTTAACTGTATTATACTCTTTAAATAACATCTCCAAACACTAATTTTCCTGATTACTGCTTACACTCTTATTACCTCTACCACTACGGGATTTGAATCGACCACTGCATCACTGTGCTAATGTGGTGTGGCAACTCGAATTGATGTACGTACGTACAAAGTTCTACGTTGTTACTGACTGACTGACTGGATTGAAAACCATGGAGCAATGGACAGATGTTTCTTACAAATATTGGATTCATCAGAAGAGCCCATTAACGATTCCGACGAGGTTTGAACTCACAACATTTAGGTCTCGTGAAAGCTGACCAACCATCAGCTATTACTCAATAGTTTACATATTTAACTTACCAGTGGTTGACCTTGATGGACAACAGAAATTATAGTGAAAACCCGTGAATATAGGAGTTCAGTTTTGTTTGGCATGTAATAAATATTACTAACGGCAATGGATGATGGTCGTATATCATCATCGATTGACTAGAGTTATAAATATGAACCAGTGAATCCCAATCCAGTGATCTAAATTTTAAGTGTTCACTGTGATACCTGAAGGTCCTGGGTTCAGTTCCCGATGGGTTCTTGGATATGCACTGTTAGGAAGTTTTGTTATGGATGAAAATAATAACTAGGGTCAGTCCGTGATGCAAACTATAAGATTCAGCAACTTCAATGACACTATACAATAAGTTATGGCAAAAGTAAATACTCGTTAAAGTTCGTTAAGTATAGAGAAAAATAAAATAACTATCGAACAAATTATGAAGACAGGCAATAGGTGAATTAAGGATCTTATATAAATATACCAACTATTCTATTTATACTGGTAAACGTCGAATAACCGTCATAGTTGGTAAGTCATAAAAAGATATAAGAACTAATAATAGTTGATGCACACATCGAAAAACAAGTAAACACAAATAGTTCCCTACCCCACTAGAGAAATAGATTCATTTAATTTCAACCTTGAGTAAACAAACTACATGATTTCAGAACTTAAATATTTAAAAACGAAAATCAATTTAAAGAAAACTAAACCACAGTTCATCACTTCAATCATGAAATAGGTATAACAAAACAAACAAGTCTTGGCACCTTAAGTTGTGGTTTGATTAAAGTACTACAGTGACCACGGTCAATAAACAAGTGCAAGCAGAGATTTAAAAAACAACACGCGTTTCAAATCGTATAATTTATTTCTATACCCTAGTGCAGAGTATTAATACTTAAAGTAGCTGGATTAATAGATTTGATAATTACAAATCTGATTATTTTGTATAGCTCCTCTTTCAATGGAGATTATCACAAATTTAATCGTAAATAAAACTTTGAGGTGATCTTTTTGAATTAGAATATGCCGATGACATAGTTCTATTTGATGAAGACGCTGACAAAATGCAGAGTCTTCTGACCACTCTAAGCAACAATGCAAACACGTTCGGCATGCGATTCCCCCCTTGAAATGCAAAATATTACTTCCGGATTGGGTTGCATCGACACCCGAACTAATGATAGGGAGTGAAGTAGTTGAGAGTGTCGACCGCTTCACTAATCTTGGAAGTCTCATCAGTCCTTGTGGTCTGGCGTGTGACGAAATCTCAGCACGGAAACAGAAGGCCCGATTAGCTTTTGCCAACTTGCGTCATTTATGGCGTAGGCGAGATATCTGTCTATCAACCAAAGGACGTGTTTACTGCGCAGCAGTTCGTTCCGTCCTACTTTATGGCAGTGAAACATGGCCGGTAAGAGTAGAGGATATTCGTAGGTTACTTGTATTCGATCATAGGTGTCTTTGAAACATTGCTCGTATATCTTGGGACCACCGAGTAAGTAATGCAGTTGTTAAGAAACGGATACTAGGTAAGGATGGCGAATCAACTGATGAAGTATTGGAACTTTATCAGTTGAGATGACTGGGACACGTGTTACGTATGCCCAACCACCGACTGCCCCAACGTACGATGTTTTATGGTGTAGGAGTAGGTTGGAAGAAAGCTAGGGGCGGCCAGACCAGAACATGGCACAAATCCATGAAGTCACTGACAAGTGGACTGAGCCATGTTGGTAGGTGTAGACTACCTGGTTGGGATCAGCGAGACGATAACAACCGATGGTTAGAGACCTTAAATGATATTGCTCAAAATCGTTTGCAATGGCGCAGGTGCATCCACTCTTTGTGTTCTCCCAAGTGGTAGCCTTCTGAATTCTTCATGTTCCTTTTTTTTCTCTTTCCAAATTTATTTCACTGTATTATACTCCTTGAATAACATCTTCAAACCCTAATCTTTCCAATTACTACCTATACCTTTGCTACCTCTACCACTACGGGATTTGAATCGACCACTGCATCTCTGTGCAAATGTGGTATGGTAACTCGAACTGATGTACGTACGCACGACGTTCTACGTTGTTACTGACTTACTGACTGATCTTAATTATTCAAAATGAAAAAGTGATTCTGAATAGAAAGTGTTAAACAAATATACTTCAGATTAGTAACCTTAGATATTTTAAAAAGCTGCGATGATATGTGTGCATTTTTCAGTCAATTAAATAGTCAATCAGCGTATGACCAGGCACATATGTCCGTCAGTCCAAGTTGCCACAACAAGATGAACACCAAATTCATAGAAACAGTTACTTCAATGGTAGTAATATATAAAAGAAAAATTGAGTATGAGGATATGATATATAGAGAAAGAATCACTTCGTAGAAAGAACGGTATAAAGCAATTTTAATCGCTCGGTTTAAGGTAAGACAAGTAGTGTATACATCTGCGCCATTGTGATCGATTCTGAGCCATGTCATCCAGAGTCTCCAACCATTGGTTACAATAGTCTGTACGCTGGATTTTATTCAAACAACTTACCATTTGTAACAGGATCGGAGTAGGTAAAAATTGTTTTGTAGTTATTACTAGCATCCTGATCGACAGACTTGGTTTGGGAAAAATTAAAAGCTGTGCTAAAATTGAATGTTTGTGTCTGACCATCTAGACCATTGAGAGCGATTAAATCTGATGGCTTTGTAAATTCGATTTGTTTAACATCACAGTCCGTTTCATAACTGAATTTGTACCCAGGTTGAATGAAAGAACCTGAAGTACTAATATCTTCAGATTTATGACGAATTAAGGGCCATTTGAAGTGGGTCTTTGCATGACGGTCACAAAACTTATCATCATTGTTGATTAAATGAGAATCGTATGACAACTTAGTATTTAACTCCCTCTACAAAAGTTAAAAACAGTAAAACTTCCTAAGTTTCTTGAGTAAAAAAATATTCCATCGTTTGATAATTAGTTCATACACACGTTTGTTAAGAACACCAATACTGTTTCAACTAAATTCATTCAAATTCCGAAACTCTCCAATCTAACTGATACATCTAGGTTGTTATTTAAGAGGTCACGAAGTCGGACGATGCAGTGTTGCAAGATGTAAGACTACCATACTCATCATACACAACACAAAATTTATGTATTATAGTAATAAAAAAACGTAATTTAGTGTCCAAAACCATCTACTTACTAATTTATACAGATTACACCGGAGACTGTTTCCTTAATTAAATCCTTTAGCTATGTACTGAATGAGGACCACCTACAAAGTACACGATGCAACGATAAATGGAAATGTGATATTTGAAACTTGGCCGATTGATAAATACACACCACTGACTTGTCGATTTTTATAGGTACACTAGGCGAATCTTAACTTCCATGACGTTGGAAGCTCAGAAGTATAATTCATTAAAGTTCATTTAAAAGATGATGTAAAACTTTATCAAAGTGAAAAATGCCAAGCCCCATAAAATTATTGTACTTTTCATGACAATCGCAAACAATCTTACAATGAGAAAAACCTTTACTGCCATTCCGAAACCACGGTGCTCATTCCATTTAGAATATTCTAACAACTGAATTCCACATCAAATAAAGCAACAAAAGCTACTAACCAAAGCTATACCACCGCGCGTTATGTTGTTACAAAATCTTACAGTTTGACGAAAACTTGGCAAAAACACAGAAAATTCGGTTGGCTCTTGACAATTTCCGTCACTTATGCAGCAAGCAAGATATCTACCAGTCAACTAAAAAACAAGTACGCCGCTTAGCAGTTTGTTTCATTTTCCCTTGTGGCTTTGAAGTACGGCCTTTAAAAAGTGCATATTTGTAGGCTACTAGAATTCGGCCCGAATCCCTTTGAAGCATTGCTCATAGATGTTGGGGATACTGTGTCAACAATTTCGGGTTAGATGTAGAATACTAAGTAAAGATGGGGAACCTCTTGATGAGGTAGTTAATCTATATCGACTGAAATGGTAAGGACATGTGTGACATATATCCATCCACCAGCTACCACGTTGTGCGATGTTTACTGGCTTAGGAGTACGTCGGATCAAAGTTGGGGGTCATCAACACAAAACATGACATCAGCTCATAAAGACACTGAGTTAGAGTGAGTTAAGTAGGTACGTGCCCCCAAATGCCCTCGTATGGCCGAGAGTGAGGAGAGTCTGCTTTCCCTCTCGAAATGCTCTCACATAGCCATGCGTATATAGCCTCTGCCAGGGAAGTCCTACTCACTGCCTTCTCGTATCACGGGTATTGTTTACGAAATTGAGAGGACGAAAAGCGAATGTCCGGTGCTTTAACCGGGTGCATATGGGCTCCAGTATCCTAAATGAACAAATGGCATATGAACCAATCGTTGGTCACCGGCTACCATGGGACTGCATCTCCTTACGATGCTTCACTGCCTTGTGGATCAGACCTTTAGGTTGAAGGCTCCGGGTGTAACGCCCTAAGAAAACCACCTGCTTCGGTTTGGGAACCCGGGCAGTATCAGAGTTTTATAGAAATGCAATTGTCTAGTGGTGAGTATCTCCACCTGTCACGTGGAAGGCCCGGGTTCGATTCCCGGTCGAGGAGTCGGCTCCCGACCGTTGTTGCTACCTTGACGTGGCGGTCGGGCTTGCCTATGGTGATGAAGCAACCGAGCTATACTGGCTGGAACAACTGTTCCTCAAGGTCCTACGACATCAGAAAGGTCGGTTGAAGAGCGGTAAGACTAAAAGCAACAAACCCAAGGTCCGAAGGCAAAGTCGTACTGCTGACTGTACAGAGGTGTGACAGCAGTAAGGTGTTTCCTTCAGACAACCAGTATGACAGCGATGCTGCCTTCCCACAAGGAGGGGTGAGGTTAGAAAAGGTCGGCCCTAAAATGTACACCTCGCCTTATCCCATGGATATGTCTCCGGCGGTAAGGTCTCAACAAGTACGGAGCTAACACAAAAATTGCCCATAAAAAGGTCGCGTGTGACCGACCTCAAGCAGTTGTCCCTTGGGCACTGCGGTCACGCTCTCAGGTCACTAAGACCACCTCTAATCGTATTTCCGTCTCAAGTACCTCCAGAAGAACCCTTCCACGGTGTGGGTAATCAGGAAGTGATAACCACCCTCATACCTCTAACAGCACTCAAGACCACTGTATTCATGATCAACCACCCTCTTCAATTCCTATCATTCCTCCTACATCAACTTCAAACTCTAAACTTCTATTTTCGGCTTCCCCCTCAAGTGTCACCATAGCCAACGATTCTAGTGCGCAAAACACTGTCCCAGGTCTACTGAAACCTCGCTCCAAACTACACATTAGAGCCTTCAACGTACGAACCCTATGTCAAATCGGTCAGCAGGCTTCCTTGGCTAAAACCCTAGAATCTCGTACCATTGATGTATGCTGTGTTTCCGAAACACGCATACAGGATTCCAGTGTGGTCATTCACTTGACCTCATCTCGGCAAAACGGAAAGACAACGAGATACACCTTCGTGTATCTGGTGACCCGATGGCCAGCTCTCGTGGACTGGCAGGAGTAGGGATAGCACTAAGCATGAGGGCGGAACAAGCACTGTTAGAGTGGATCCCCGTCAACAGTCGTCTATGTGCTGTTCGGCTAAACGGCTCCGTAAGAACTCGGAAGGATAGGGACACACGTCGTTGCCTTTTTGTCGTTTCTGCCTAAGCTCCCACCGACTGCAGCTCAGATAATGTGAAAGATGAATTTTACAGAAAGCTGTCCGAACTTCTTCAGAAAGCTAAACGCTCAGACATAGTACTCGTAGGGGGTGACTTTAATGCTCAGATAGGTAGTTTAAACCAAACAGAAAGGCATTTAGGCGGGTATTTTAGTATTCCGGCACAACGAACAGATAATGGTGATTGTCTGCTGCAACTGTGCTCAGACAATCGTTTATTTTTAGCAAACACAAATTTTAAGCATAAGGAGAGACATCGTCTAACATGGCGACCCCCTACACCAAACCAACGATGAACTCAAATAGACCATATCGCCATCAGTCATCGTTAGAGAGAGTCGGTAGAAGATTGTCGCTCATTCTGGAGTACCTGCATGGACTCCGACCATGCCCTAATACGGGCACGCATCTGCTTGCGCCTCACTGGACGCAAAAAAGCCATATTAAAAAGACCCATTAGAAGTGAACTGAGCAATGAGAAAACCAAAGTAGGTTCCAGGAAGAACTGAGGTCACACTTAGGTCGTTATGAAAATGAGGCTGACCCAGATGTTGCTTGGAAAGATATACAAACAGCTGTGGAAACAGCAAGGAAATCTATTAGTGACTTAAACCACAGAGTTACAAAGAACCAGTGGATTTCTTCAAAGTCTATCACACTGATGGATTCTTGCAAACTCGTTCCATCAGGTTCTGAACATGATGAAGAGCGACAACAAATCAGATCTAGGTTAAGAAAGAGTTTAAGAAACGACCGTGAGCAGTGGTGGGCAACGAAAGCAAGAGATGGAAAAGGCGGCGACTATAGGGAACACAAGACAGCTTTTCAGACTAATAAAAGAAACTGGAACTAATAAGTCAAATGTAAGTGAGATTATTTCGGAAAAAGACGATACTCTCATCTACTCCCAGTTCAGACGTTTAAAACGATGGGCGGAACATTTTAGGGATCAGTTTAACTGGCCTTCAGCGACTCTACAACTACCCTCCATTCCCAGACAATGTGAATGGAACATTGAAGTAGGTCCCCCAACTCTAGCAGAAGTTCAAAAGGCTATAGTTAATCTGAAACGAGGAAGGGCAGCTGGTCCAGATAGATTGGCCCCAGAGGTCTTTAAGGATGGTGGTCCAATTTCAGCGATTAGGTTGACTAATATTTTAGCTAAAATCTGGGAGTTAGACGTTATTCCATCTGACTGGTCGCAATCACTTATCGTCCCAATATATAAGAGAGGGTAAAAATCATCCTGTGACAACCATAGAGAGATTAGTTTAACTAATATAGTATCTAAAATACTAGCCTTGATAATTATGAGACGCCTAACTAAGACTCATGAACTGCAAACACGAGAGAACCAAGCTGGCTTCAGACCTGGTCGTGGCTGCATCGACCACATATTCACCATTCGTCAGGTTCTAGAACACAGGCACACTTATCGACGTCCGACAATGGTGGTCTTTCTTGACTTAAAAGCAGCATTTCACTCGGCAGACCGCGAGATTCTGTGGCAGTGTCTGTCATTGAAAGGCGTACCCCAGAAGTATATAAACCTTGTAAAGCCTCTTTACTCCAACACTGCCAATCGAGTCAGAGCTTATGGCGAACTGTCATCTGCTTTTACAACCTCAAGTGATGTCCGTCAAGGATGTCCACTTTCTCCATTTCTGTTTAACTTCATCATAGACCTACTGATGGAAATAACATTCTCGTCGACTGAATTCTCGGGTATTGATCTCCTTCCAGGAGGTCCACTTATCGACTTAGAATACGCAGATGAAATAGTTGTGTTTGGTGAAGACGCTGACAAAATGCAGAGTCTTTTGATAGCACTAAGCAACAATGCCAGAATGTTTGGGATGCGCTTCTCTCCCTCTAAATGCAAGTTGTTGCTTCAGGACTGGCCTGCGTCAACACCTGAACTAAGGATAAGGAGTGAAGTGGTCGAACGAGTCGACAACTTCACTTATCTTGGAAGTCTGATCAGCCCTAATGGGCTGGTATCGGACGAAATCTCAGCATGGATCCGAAAAGTTCGTTTGGCTTTTGCCAACTTACTTCATCTTTGGCGAAAGCGAGATATCCGTCTATCAATTAAAGGACGAGTATACTGCGCGACAGTTCGTCCTGTCTTACTTTACGGCTGCGAAACATGGCCTTTAAGAGTAGAAGACACCCGTAAGCTACTAGTATTTGACCACAGATGCCTTAGAAATATTGCTGGCGTCTGTTGGGATCACCGGGTAAGTGATAGTGAGGTTAGACGCTGGGTATTAGGTAATGATGGTAAATCAGTTGATGAGGTTGTGAATCTTCATCGACTGAGATGGTTGATTCACGTGTTACGTATGCCTGAACACCGATTAACACGTCGTGCAATGCTAACGGGTGTTAGAGATGGTTGGAAGAGAATTAGGGGCGGCCAAACCAAAACGTAACATCAGTGCTTGAAGTCACTAACTTCTAGTCTGAACCATGTTGGTAGATGCAGACTATTTGGTTGGGGTCCGCGTGACTTTCGTAACCGATAGTTGAGGACTCTTGGTGACATGGCTCAGAATCGATCACAATGGCGTCGGTGCATACACTCCCTGTCTTCCCTTAAACTAAGAGATTAAAATCACTTCATATCTTCCTTTCTATTAACTAATTATTTCTTCCTGTACTGTATCCTTATATGCAATCTTTCTCCTATATATTACCACCCTGGTACGGCCAGGGGTGAGAGAATCAGCTCTCTCTAGTTCGAAATGCTCTCACATTGTCACGCGTATATAGCCTCTGCCAGGGAAGTCCTACTCACTGCCTTCTCGTATCACAGGTGTTGTTTACGAAATTGAGAGGACGAAAAGCGAATGTCCGGCGCTTTAACCGGGTTGGTGGACATGGAGAGTCCACCCAGGGGAGTTGAAAGTCCCTGATTCCAAACCAATGGTGAACATGGGCTCCAGGATCCTGAGGGAACAAATGGCGTATGAACCAATCGTTGGTCACTGGCTACCATGGGACTGCATCTCCTTACGTTGCTCCACTGCCTTGTGGATCAGACCTATATGTTGAAGGCTCCGTGTGGCCCCCTAAGAAAACCACCTGCTTTGGTTTGGGCGCCCGGGCAGTATCAGAGCCCTCACACATATCAAATGAGATTCGCGTGGCACATATGTATTTGGTGCCTACTCGTATGTGTTAAATAAATACATAAAATGAAAAGTAGGTACGTGCAGAATACTTGAGGTTTGGGTAGTTATCATAAGCGTTGATTAATGACATTTGGTGAAATGGTTCATAAAAGATGTTAATAACTTAATTGTTTGAGCTGATAAGGTTATTTTGGCGAGACTATAATTTATGGACGAACCAATAGGGTATAAGATAATAAGTCTCGGATATTGGCACGAAATTCAGTCATCCAATTTGGTTAAATAGTTTTGGCATTATAGCTGAAGTCAGTTTGTGATGAAAACCCAAAATATAATTCCCAACCTTAATCATCAACTGTAAAACATAATTCTAATTCCTCACATAGTTTTATAACCCTCATTTGGTACGAGATATTACGTGGACACTATCAAGGTCAGTCTAGCTTAGTTCAAAGTTCGTCCATAAATTTTAGTCTCACCTTAGTGTGCTTTGAACAGAATGAAAATGACAACCAAATAGGATTCTAAAGTGATATCTGTCGCCAGGTTACACAATATACATGTATTAATACATGTAAACATTTCACCAATTTTTCTATTGAGCTTAACATAACAAACCTTGGATTGAATATAAAAAGTAGTGAGTTAGCTAGCATACGTCGTGATTTCATAAAAGAACGGACGAATGCATTCGATATTTTACTTTTTGATATAGGCTTTCAGAACATTCAATCCTTTGCAATGATAGTGAAATACATAGAGCTGACAAACAAGCAAAAGTGAGCTCCGCAAGAACTATTTTTTATACGTATCTACCAAAAAATTTTAAAACGCGACATCAAAAAATACGCCACTTAGTGCAGACAAAATTTGCGTGTCAGTAACAAAGATAAAAATGACTGCAAATTAAAAAAACAGATGGATACAAAAAAATATGTGAGGCTACAATGCTCTACATATTTTCTGTGAGCCGTGCAGCTCACTTTTACGTCATGTAGAGTATAACGAACGCAAGTTTTAAATATACGCGTTAACCAGAACAAAAATCACAATTTTAACTCTTTCCGACCGTATACTTCAGTCAGAATCTTTACGTTAACACAATTCTTTACAAGAATACGAGCGATAAAATGATGGCAACGGTAAGTAGATACCAAGGAGTGAAAGCATTCTGACATACTTCAAGTAGAAACCTACCATAAATAGTAACATACAGCTATCCTAGAGAGACCTTGAGGACCGAAATATCTGCCGTCCTGTCGCAGCTATGTCTCTATATTTGCTATGATAAAACAAAACTGACCTTCAATATCATGTGATCATTTTCAAAGTAAAACTTGTAAAAAGTACGTGAAAAAGTATCGAATGAAGTTAGCGAAAAAAGTGAGAATCCCAATTTATTATTAGGTACTACTTCAGATAGTTTGATTGAACATCAAATGAATTCGATTTTTCGAAATATTCGGAAACTAAAATTACTAAGGGCATGATACTCATTATTCCTAGATAAACTTCTTAGATAGATTTTTTGTACCGCCTCGTGATACTATGTGACTAAAAATTCGGGATTCATGTAGAAATAGTTAATATGGGATTAATAGTCGTGTGTATTTCACTCAACCGAAGAAGCTAGCCGGTGCAATGTCAATCAATCCATCGAGAGCAAATATTTTTAATGATCACTCCATCAAAGTATCATCAAGAACAAAATAAATTTTTCTTGAGTCCAAATGAATTTCACAGACACATCATATATATATATATATATATATATATATATATATATAAGTGAACCACTAATTGATAAAAAGACATAATGATTTCTCTGAAAAAGAATGCAACTACTATTAATACTGTTTCACAACTTTATAATACAGCAAAGGTTGTAACAAAAATGTCTTTCTTTTTCTTTCCTCTTTGTCGCACATTTACAGAAAAACAAACGTCGAATAAGCTACTAGCGAAATAAAATAGATATGGTTTAGAAGTATCTCCAAAGAATCCTACGACTCCTGAGTGCCCATAACGTCGGATCTCCAATGATCTCTTGGCGACTATGTGTAGCGGAGCTATTATTTTGACTGCCTAAAGGATCTGTGATTAGTGATTCAATTTTTGTCAAATTCTTCAATACGAATGGCAAAGCGTTTATGATAAAGACGTATTGAAGTTGTTATAATAAACGGTCCTCTGATTTCTACGTGATGAGAAAAGGATGTGACAAGCTGTCTACACTTTAAGTCAGTTTGAATAGTCTAAGGTGTTTTTCAACAACTCACCATACTTACTAGTAATAGGTTGCGATGTAAGACGCAAGATGATGAAAGCCAGGCCCGTATCATGCATTTGTTGTCAAAGTTGTGGTATGTACAAATATGGTTATACTCTTGGTTTTTAGAGTTATAATTTATAAGTGCTGACTGACGGTATACGTTGTCCACGGATCATGAAATTTCTAGAAAACATTTATTTATGTCCGAAATTTAGATTGTCAGTTGTATGAGTCTTATTTTTGGCTTTCAGTGCTACTCTAGGATGGACGTTCTTAAGTTATTGAGTGTAGTTGGTGAAACTACACTTGCCTACACCTCAGTGTTGATTACAGATTGTATTGAGATCGCGAACTAACTTAACTCAGGTAACTTTTCTGAACCTGGATACAGTGCGTCCGCCACCGTGCTGTCGGAAATTGAATCCGTAGCCCTAGGTTTCGTGAATGAATGCCTAAAATTTAGACCTTTAGATGTGGATTCGTTTGATTACCTGTCTATTTGCATTCACCGCTATCCAAAAGTTACAACTGACAGCACGGATATCGGAGTTTAACAATATCGAGTATGAAGCAATTATCCATCTCAATGAATGAAGTTAAGCATAGACATGTGTTGAGTTAAGTCAGATACGTTCATAGTTGCATCCCAGTTCAATAGTCTGTAGGTTTGCGTATGTGCACAAGATCAAAATCAATGCGTATGCTCCAAGATGATCGAGACGTGGATGTGCATTATTTGGGAATCAAATACTAAGACGAAATAGCTGTTCAGTGCTTCTAGAATTTCTGTGGTGATGTAACTAGAAACCGTTCGTCATTTCAAAAACATTTGATATTTCTGTCTAACAATGCATTGGTAAAAATGTAAAGTCGTATATCCTGACTGTTGATTGAGTACGGTACCTTTGTCGGCTTCATCAGCCGTCCTCAAACGTCAGCTTCGACGTTTGTCAGTCACTTTATATCGAATTTAGATGATAATAATCAGCATTTAGTTGCACTGCTATATTTTTTGTGTGATTTGTGGGATGTGTTTTTACTGTAGCACTGGCATCTGCTTCGAGATTTTGTAACAAACATAGCTAAGCGGTTAAAGTCCGACCAAGATCTTGATGAAAAAGTAAAAATATTATCCTCAAGGGTTGCAGAAGTTCTGCATTTTATTCTACGCAATTATTACATATTTTTATTCCCCAACCCCACTGAAGAGTACAGTGTGTAAACCAGTTCAACCGCGCTCTTTATTTTCTCCTGTTGTGAGGTAATAATCGGTGCAACCATTATTTCGGAGTCTTCTGATTTAAACACACACTGGATTAATGGGCGTTAGTTTAAAACGTATTCCTAGAAGTTCACTGCCCAGACAGCTTGGAACCTAAAAATGTCGTACAACTGATTTACTTTGAGGTTTGCTTTATGGTCTTGGGAAGTGGTTTGACTCAGGAACATTAACATGCTACATCAGTGAGTCTGTTGACATTGATACTTTCATTACCAGAAGCTCTAGTTTCTCAAGGTTCTTTGGAACCCAACTTAACTACAAATGGTGAAACAAATGTTTGTGTTATGGCTGGTTAAAAATTACATAATTGTATTTCGCCTGAGGTTCGGTAACGTGTTCTCCGTGGGTTCCACGTTTTTAAACAGTCGGTCGATAAATTGTTGGACTTACAAAGAGTAAATTATAACAATTCTCAGAAATATCGGATGGTAAGTATGGATAAAGTCTGAGTATTATGTAATCAAACTTTTCTAAGATTCGATATAATGTAAGCAGTTTGGTTTATGGACTTATTATCAGAGAATGTGTTTTTAATCGTATGACAGACTACATGTGTCTCGCAGGAAAACTGTCTCAGTAGCAAGACTCCAAACAAGTCGTTTACTTACACTGGTTGACGCCCATGAAGGAGCATAGGACGCTCACCAGCACTCTCCATCCTACCCTATACTGGGAAGTTCCAGTCGCTATTCACTATTTTCATGTCTACTTCCCATCCCGACACAGTGTTTTTTGGTCTTTCTCTTTTTCCTTTGCCTTCAGGATTCCACGTCAGTGCTTGCCTCCAACATCTTTTCTTAATTTGCCCTTCAGCTAGAAGCTGGTTTGTCTTTTCCCACAGTAGGCTGTTGCTGATTGTATCCGTTCAACGGATATAGAGTAGAAAATTGTATATAAATACTTGTACTTTCAGAATGATGGCTGTCCCAATCAATGTCTTCTCATGATACCCTCATATCCAGTTTCGTCCATTCCGACTTTGGCGTTTATATCTTCCAGGACCGTGAGATCCTTTCTTGGGCCTTTACTATGATTGATTGCAGCCTATTGTAGGACTGATCTTTATCATCGTCATTGCTATGACAACATTCATCGTAATGCCCTCGTAAATTGTTCAGAATGATGCTTTGATCATCCAGGGATTTCCGTCACTACGTGAACGGTCTCCTGGATGTTCCGTGAACCCGCTAGAGTTGAAGCTATCACAAGTTCACTTAATCTGCGAACGAGAAACAAGACTCGGTGACCAAAGACCAGAAAGCTAGCTATTGATGCATCCCAGCCCCGCTAACTAGAGGGAGAAGTCCAAGCTTGGTATGGTGAAGTATATTCTGCAAACAACCAGAAACGAGCGTTAACAACAAATGCAATTCAAAACGTATATATACAGTACAAAACCGCCCTCGAGGAGAGTTACCAAATAGCATACTAAAGACGCAGCGGACCAATAGCATTTAAAATATTTCCCAGTGGGAGATACGATATGAAAGTGACAAGAGCGCCTTTGGCGCGAAAACAAATAAATTCAAATTTTCTAAATAAAATTACAAATTAGGTCCTTTCCCAAGTGGGTTCTGTGGATTTAACGTTCCCAACACACCCCATTTTTAATAGCCTACTTCCCTGGGGTCGAAATGCATCTTGACTGTTGCTCGCCGCTGTTGGAGAGGCCACCTTCTGGAACAGAGATCAGCTTGTTGTTGAGCTTCTTCTCGTGCTGGGGCTGCTGTTAAGTTGAAGGTATCAAGCAGGATGTCAAAGGGAAGATTTACTCCTGTTGATGGGCGGTTTAGGGCTATGTGCTTCCGTAGCTGTTTTCGGTGTGTAGTCCACGTGTCTCTTCCCACCAATAGCATTCAAGGTAGTTCCCAGTGGGAAATACGACGTGAAGATGACAAGAGCGCCTTTGGCGCGAAAACAAAGAAATTCAAATTTTTTAAATACAATTACAAAATTAGGTCCTTTCCCAAGTGAGTTTTGTGGATCTAACATCCTCAACAGAACCTATATTGATTGTTGCTCTGGTTATTCGAAGGGACATCGGCCTCATAACTTTCGAAAGATCTCGGCTTTTATAATGAATTAACATAATTCTTCCCTCAATTTGAAGGGCAGAGTTGAAATGGTTTGATTTGTTTAACCTGGTTAGCACTTTTTTTTACCAAGGTCGTATCCTACGATATAGGACTGCTGACCACATGCTCAGTTCTCCTTCTTTACCTGGGCTACGGACCAGCAGTACGCACAGTTAGATAGTTTCGAAAATAATAATATAGAAATAAGGAGTTTTGGATGTTTTCCGTTTGAAAGCGATTTTATATTCTTCAAAAATCATAATATGAACTTAAATCCATCTTCTTTAGTTTTGGAAATATGTTCACGGAATTAAATGATATTTTGGTCGGTTTCAACTATAATGTAAGGTGTTGCTGTATTACTAATATTTCAACACCAAGCGTTATATATTCTTGGACAAAAGTATTCGTCCTTATAAGTTGATGTCGACTTTTTACCACAGAGCTAATTTCAAACTGATCAAGATCTTAATCCTTCAGTGCAATTAGTATAGTTCAAAACCCTGTGCCATTTTCGCGTTCTAATACTTATCACTAGCACATCCATTTATAAACATTCACACAGCATCTTAGATTAACCTCCTAGAAGTGTAAAACGTATGGGGAATAGCGAGACGAAATGATTGCAAATGTGTGGTGTCGCGTTCTGCTCCATTACATAACATATCAGAAACTTGAGCATAAACAGAACTTAATGCTATAGACCATGTGATTGAAGTTATTCATCCGCAAATCGTCTGAAATTAATTCCTCACGATAGACGACTTTCTGAGGAACGAAAAACGTCCGTGACTATGACCGCATTTCTCATTCAAAATGCCTTCCCACCTTGTTAAACTGAAATATGACATTATTTCTATGGTGTCAAAGCACCTATGATGATATGAACACGTCAGAATTCTCAGGACAGAACTGACCTACATACAGAGTAAGCTAGGTTTTGCATAAATACAAATACAAGCAGATATCTAAATATCTTCTTACACATCTTTGTCGATATTTGGAACAGCAATATCTTTAGTAGCTTTACACTAAGACCCTTTCTTTTATTCTGTCAGGAGGAAATAAGGCAACCTGTCTCAATCGCGTCAATTTGTTCAATACTAATTGTCCCAGTGTGTATTGCCGTCATCCCAAAAAAATAAAACGGACGTAAAACTTGTCGTGGTTTAACACTCGTTACTCCTGCATTTGCGTAAAATATAACATTAGTGTCCCACGTTTAGACACAGAATCTAGTGTCCCTGTTGGCGTGACTACACAGTAAATGACAGAGAATCTATCGAAGTTCGTGTCAAGGTTTAAAACTCACATTAGCATTTACCCTAACCAAGAGGTTGCTTATGAAAGTTGACAGAAGACTAGCATAACCTGAATATGAATGCATAAATTGCCCATCCATGTTATCGTAACTAGTGCTGCCAAATCTACCAAATCATTCAAACACCTACTCTAATCAAACTGACACCTAGTAATTTACTTTTTCTAAGCAACCACCTGGTATTTATATACACCAATTATATTCCAAATTGTTTGCTCCTGATATTAGAGACTCGTTCAAGACGAACAATTACCGACAAACTAAGGAGAATAAATAGAAATTAAATATTCGAAAATAATGTAGATTTTGGAATACAACGTTTTAAGCGTTTGAATCAATGTAAACGTCTCCTCGAAAAAGTGTTATAATTAAAAAGTAATCAAACACAGTTTTAAAAAACTAACAGAAAAAGAGAGTGGAAATAACATGACCGCTATTCACAATAAAACTGACAGAAACGAAGAAATTCTCATTATAACTTATAACACTGCGAAACTGAATACAAAAGTTTAGTAGAATCAAACATAGAACTACGCTTAGTTCTTTCCGAAATCATAAGTTAATTTACAAACACATACATTGTGCATCGCTTTTTGTAAAAAAGATAACACATAACACGTCTTGGAAACAGTGTAAATTCATTTACGGAGTAACATTAAATTATGCATTTAATTCATTGAATATCACAGACAATCAGCGAACTGAGGTGATAGAACTATTGACTTTTTAAAAGCATGTCAATCTACAAAAAATTATAGGCAAATAAATAACGATATTAAGTAATGCATCAACGAAATATATAAATAACTGAGGTAAACAACATAGTTCATCCAAAATTTACATAAACGTCACAACTCGTGACTTCATACGTAAAGAATTCGGCTTCCGTTCGGGTAACTACTAGACAATATCACTAACCAATGTACCAACTCAATTACATGGATATGTTGACCACGTTGCTAAACTGTTCATATATGAAGTTGACATGAAATGTATGAGAACTGGAAACCTATTAAAATCACTCAATTACGTATTTTCTAGTTGATAAAGTCAAACACCCATACTCCGCTTTACCTATTTCGAAGTTTCGACAGTCAGATTGTAAGGACAGACCTCATGAAGCAGTTTGTGTCGAAGCAGTGCTGAAATGTTTATTTGGTCGAAGGTGATTAAAGAAAACCCTGAACATAGGTTTTGAGCTAAACGGTACTGGTCAGCAAAGTGTACTTAGAACCTTGACGGAGCTGATGTTCTCTGAAGAATCCGAATCCACATCCCCAGTCTCACAGTCTGGGGAGTAACCACTGACCATTTTAGACAGGCAATGACTCCGTAAAACTGGTAATTTTACATTGGTTTATAACTGAGAAGTGATAAATGTCATATTTGTCTAGTCCTTAAGGTTGGCCGAATTTCAACGATTAATTTGTAATGTGACACCTAGAGATTAGCATCCTACAGTGAGCATCAGTTCCATCAGAATTCCGGAAACGCCTGGCAGCCCCAACTAGCACGACACATAGCTTAAACAGAATTTCCTGTCACCCATCTCTAAAACACAAAACTTCTGTTGGAGAGCTCCAAAATACTTTTCGGGAAAGTTAACAGGGATCCAGACAATGCTTAGAAACATTTTACACGATCAGGACTGAGCGAAAGTTTCTTCGAAACATCTACAAAGATAGTAAATCACGTGTCGAGTTTTCGGTTGGACAGTTACATTTTTATTGCTATGTTCAGTATACTTCCAGAGCTTTCCAGACAGTTAAAGTCAAGTTATATAGCTCAAACAAGCACGATTATTTGCGCATACTTTAACTGTGGAGAAAAGTTCTTATTTTCACTTTGCGCCGTTTCTTTCGTGTTCAAGTCGCCAACTAGATTTATTCTGAGCTATCAGAAAAATGTTAAGAAATCGGATCAAGAGTTCATAAAACAAATAAATAAAACTACATCAATAATTGCTTACCTGCGCTCTATACATTTCTTTAACATCAGCTAAATCCAATTTAAGTTCATTATTTTCTTCCGTTAATTTACCGCATAAAATCAATAAAGTTTCATAACGTTGTTGTAATTCCATTGTAGGATCATTGTCATCAATTACATCGACAATATTATGATTATGGTAATTATTTGTAGTAGGAGCAAAGGAATCTGATTGTGATAAAGTTCTATTTACATGGTTTGTATATTTTACACCTGCTAACTTTTCGTATTTCTCAGCTCGAGCTGTTTGTTTAGCAACTTCAGTTAATAACTTCTCTTGTGTGGCTGTTAATTGTTCAATTTGACGTTTCAAATGAGCACATTCACCTTCGCGCAAATGTAGATGAGACTATAAAACAGTAAAATTGTTTTAAATTAAATGAGAATAAAGAATCCAGGTTTAATAAAATTCCTTTAAGTTTCATGATCATTAGAGATCCCGCGTATGGGGTCTTAGATGCCTAATCCCGAGGACATTTATGCTAGGACAAAATCGCCACCCAGCAGTTCTAGGTTCTCAATGGTGGTCTAATTTAGCTCGGTGCGTGGTTTCAATAGAACCCAACAAATAAAATAATATCAATGACGTACCACAACTGATTATTCATGAATACACGATGCGAATGAGCCATATTATAATGACTCATCATAATAATTGAAATCTTTCAGAAAAAGCCTCAGTAGTAAAACTTATTCTTCATGTTGGAAGTTATCGATCAATATCTGTGAAACTTCACCAAGTTCTATTGTCAGGACTATTCTTCTCCCCAATATAATTTAATTTTGTTACAGGTATGATCCTAAAGAAAATTCTCCTTCTGACCTTAAGTGCAATAATCTACTACCTAGAGAATCGTCAGTAGGCTAAGAATACATACATGACATACTTCCGATTGATGAAGACACTGAGAAAATGTAGTATTCCGAGACTTTCGAGTGAAAATTTAAAAATGTTTTGGATGCATTTCTTTAACTATGAATGAAAACACTTGCTTTAAAATTAGTCTCAAATAACGTCTATCCTGACCACTGACGGTGAAGTAGTTTAATAGGTTGACGACTATAAAAGAGTATCAGTTCTCTAGTGATTGCGGATTCGCGCCTTGACAACAAATAACAACTCTCACAAAGCTTGGATCAAACGCATTTCGACAACCTAAGTATTTGATTCCAATTACTGTATATTATTCAGGTTAGTAAAACGATTACAGAGAATAAAAAAGTGGTTAAATGGTAAACATAAACCTCAAACACAGGCTAAGATTCCATATTATAATTACTTCTTACTTGAAAATATTCCATAGAAGCTTGATTGACCATATCAGACTGAAATTGAAATGTTTTTGGAATACTGGCTACTTCATTGTTGAATGGAGATTTTCTCTGAAAAACGGAAAAGGTAATCAAGAATTCAAACATATTGTTAATGCTTTGGTTGTCTTATAATAATTTGTATTGTAATAATAAACAACAAACTGAAAATCGATCCGTACATGATGAGCGCTTATTGTTCAGATATTTGGGAGTTTTCAAGAACTGACCATTCGATCGAATACACATTGCCAACAATATCACTGCAACTTTTTATAAGCCAGTCTATCGAAATATAAGCTAAGGAGATTTCAGCACATTAATAATGCAAATTATTAAACTTTATCGGTTATTTTTCAGCTACGATTAACATATATAATGAAGCCAAACCAATTTAAACTTTAGAAAACAGACCAGATAAAGGCTGCTTCTACTTAGTGAAAGTGATTGACAACTTAATCGTTTTACTATGCACAGTTTAATGTGCTAACCTTTGAAGCAGACCGTTTCCATAAAAGCTAGCGATCTTAATTGGCTGTTCAGAAAAAAAACAAATTGTAACAAGGTGTGGATCTGAGAATAAGTGCTTTCATCGCTTTTTCATTGCGCTTTAAATTGGTGTGTTTCAAAATGCTATAAAGCATACTCAGACAAGAACACAAACTTCAAATTACTGGTTTATATATAATCAAGTTTTGTACGTAAATGAAAAATAGGAAAATCAACATTCAACACTATCTCTCAATGAATAACAAATAACTTGAAATTTTGTATGAATTAAGCGCTGATGATGTTGTCCAGAACAACAACGAAAGTTTCATGATTAAACAATCCAGTCAGTATGACATAATTTTTATGAATGATTCGATTATTTTCTTATATTATTTTACATTTATAGACGCTAAATCATTGCATGGATGTCATCGGTTAAAAAGACTTCCTAAAGAGATGTAAAACATGTTTGTACTATACATTCCCTCTAACTGACTTAATTCTGAGTGTTTGTAAGTTGTTTCTTTCTCCAAATTTGACCTGAATACTTTTTCTTACACATTACTTCTAACAGTTCATTAAACAACGAACCATTATTGAGCATTGAATACGAACAATAGATAATGTTTTAAAATACTAGAATTGTAATAACAGAAATATTATGATACATCGTGACTAAATTATTACACTAAGTGTGAAAATGTAGAGATAAAAGAAAGAAAGAAATCAGTCATAAAAGAATTGAAACCATGATGTTAAAGATATGGTGAACTCTAAGCGAAAAATTGGTATGTTCGTATACAACTTAGATCAATATTATGTGTGGATTAGGCTATCCTTAGTTTTGTGATTACAAGTTATCTTTCACTAGAATGGTGTATTAGGGAACGCAAGGATCCAATCATAGAAAAATAACAAGTTGGAAAATCTATGATAGAATACGTTTAAACTACACGTGTGTTTTCTAACTTGGGACGTCATGTTTTATACGGCAAACTACAGAGACATTTCATAATTAGAAACAATAACAATAATACAAACTAATCAAGAATTTCATTAGGGTTTAATAAATGACTTCCTTTCAACAAACAGGCGACAGAGGTTCGATTACTGAACACATGTGACTTATTTTATAATGTACTAACTAAACAGGAGTTTCACAGATGAAATAACTTCTAGGCATATCTAACATAATTTCTTATACCCACTTACCTAAAGAGTAATTTAAAATTATACCTAGGTCAAATGTATAATCAGGCTAGAATAGTTAATTTTTCTTCAAACCGAAATGTTGAAGAAGATATCTATAATAAAAATCTACTCACAATGATTGAATTCATGAAAACGAAGTATATACACAAACAGAAATGGTTCAGTGAAGTTATATATGTAAAAAGTATAGATAAACTAGAATAACGATCTGCACTATATATATATATATATATATATATATATATATATATATATATATATATATATATATAAATTTAAACATACGTCAATTGAATGTGAATTCAATGGTTGATCGATGACCTTATTTGCCACAAGTTGGTCTTTTGCCAATTTCATTTCTTCTAGTTGTAAGCATAAATTATTATTCACCGCTTCTAATGCTTTATAACGTTGCTCTTCAGATAACAATGTTTGTTGTAATTCACTTATACGAGAAAGAAATTCATTCATTTCAGATTTAGATGTTTCCAGTTTGACAGTTAATCTATAAAATATCCGAAAAATACAGTGGAAAAAAAAAGTTTATTGAATAATGACATCATACGATTACTTATATTTTATTTCGTAACTAAACTAAAATCGGGAATCAGTGAGATATTAAAATGTATAACCTGAGATAAATGTGCATTGGTTGAAGTTGTCACATAATATTAATACGGTGAGACAAATGCCAAAGTAGTAAAAATGGTAACAATATCATGCATTAAGGTATTGTTTTAAATAAGACATCCAATATAAAGAAATACTGAAATAAATATGTGACTGTTTTGGGTGATGCACTTAAACTTTGCTACATCAATTTTGCACATGGTTTCCAGACTCCGACTAATCGATGACGCTTAAATAGTGCATAAATGAAGAGGTGAATAAACAACTGAAGATTTACTCTTTAAGTCACCATAATGTGATAAGAATCTTGCGTTACTTATGTGATTAGAAGCAAACTTGGAATTGTGTGAAATTCTATAAAGTACGCCAAAACTAATAGCAATTTCTGCGCTTAACAAAAACAATCATAACAGCTGTTTGGAATCAACAAGTAATCAATAAGGGTGTATACAAGCTAAATGTGTTCGAAAGTGTTTTACGGTCCCTTTGTAGGGAAGAAAGATGAATTATTAGCGTATTCTAACAATGGCTTCTAATCATTTTAATGAATCAGTGAACAAATAGCCGGTCACACGCATAGTAGGACCTGGTACACTGATTGAAGTTGCCATAGCAAAACAAACACAGAGAAACATGGAAGTATCAATACAGATGAGAGAGTAGGAGAAACAGCCAAATTATCAACAACGATGAAAAAACACTAGGCTTATACAAACTCAAAATTTAAGGGATGGGACTAAGTGAATGCATCTGAGTCATTATAATCGATTTCAAGTCAAATCACTAGTTAAGATAATCTTGCGAAAATGAACCAATGGTTGAAAACAGAGCGCCTAAATCATTGAAACAGGAGTTCCGTACACATATATTGATATAACTTTGGATTATAGACAAATATGATGTTTAAAAGTTATATCCTCAATGACCAATTTCACTGAACATGATGAGACATTTGAAAGCTCTCATCTTTCTTCCGTTAGCTGATATCTTAGGGCACCCGGGCAGTATCACAGCCCTCGCACATATCGAATAAGATTTGTGTGGCGCATATGTATTTGGTGCCTTCTTGTTTCAATATCTATGTGTTAAAATAAAATAAAATAATAGGGATTTAAAATCAATGTAATTATTTCTACTACCTTGTAAGTTTTCCAACATTCATATAAAAAGTCGTAACTTTGAGAATAATTTACATCATAGTGTTTTTGGACCAGGGGATTGTACAAAATAATAAGACATTGAATAGCATTCTCATCCGGGGTTGAAAAACATCAGTCGTGTTCACTCATGACTCCGTCAAGGACAGAACTGAAGACCTACTGACCTGGCGGTAAACATACATCCTTAAACCAATGAGTTGTAATTCATTGTTTTACGTTTCAAGCTTCAAATGACTGAACATGTTGGACGGTCACCATGTCTGATAACTGATTTATGTATGATACACTTGGTATTGTTTTTACTTGGATCTTTCCATTGATTTTTAGGCAATATCGAGGCAATACGCACAGTACGCACACATGCAAATAAGAGACTGATCAATTTCAGTCCTAAACATCAATGGGAAGATTCAAGTAAAAACAATATCAAGTGAATTAAACTTCACCCCATTGCACAAGCAAGTGGCTAACAGGACTCAGTAGCTAAATGGATAACGCAATGGCGTTTGAAGCGAGCAGTACTGGGTTCGAGTCCTAGAGTGAACATCAACTCTGATGCATGTACATCCAGCTGAAGAGTCGCAAGTAGAACGGAACGCGCGTCCTGGATTCCACCACTAGCCACTATCCATCTTTGCCTATAATGATTTATGTATGAACTTTATGAGTGTTAGATGAAACTTTTGTTAAATGTTCAAAACGCTTTCGATTTTCTTAAACTTATTCATTCCTTTAGTGTTAATTTATTTATCCTCATTTAATTTAAAAGACAGTAATAAATTTGACATTTTTGATTGTTTAAATTTGGGAAAAATACAGCAAACCATTACGTAATTGAAAATCGTTTTGGAAAAAAACCATATACCTACTCTTGTAAATCGAACATGCTACCCTGTGATTTTTCTTGTTCTGCTGTAAATATTTTCTGCAAATCAACATATTTCTGCTTTAAGGAATTCAATTCTAATCTAGCCACTGCTAAATTATCCTCTGCTATTTGAAGCTGACTTCGCCATGATTCTTCAGACGTTTGAGCATTATCGGCTGTAAGTTTATATTCAGCTAAATATGAGAAAAAATTGAAACAAACCCATAAATAATATTCGATGATAGATTTTATTGCACATGTTAGTATAAATCTTAGGACACTGTATCTTGATGTGCAGAGACATAAAAAAGGAGGTTGGCTTGAAAAAGAAAATCTTACTTGAATGCAGTGAATTTTAATATCAAGTATAACTTTTTAGACACTTCTTTTTTTACCATGGATTATGACCTGATGAATAATAGACAGACGGTTCGAGGTGTGAAAATGAATCATTACAATACTGCTCAATTGATCATACAATGATAAGATATGATTCAATGATACACCATCATGAGATCGAAAACTGAATCAATCCTCCGAACGAACTGAAACAAAAGACGAGATTAAGAGCCAGAAGAATACGTTTTTATCTAGTGAAATAACCAAAGGGTCTGAAAGGTGAATTCTTGCTTCGAGATCTGAAGATCCTGTTTTCGACTCCTGTTGAGGAGAATCGTACTAAATTGAAACAGCTGTCCGGTACTTTAAGATTTTCAACGAACGTCTAATTAATATCATTCTGTGATCCAAACCATACAATTCAACAGTCTCCACCAAACGCCAATAATTATATCAGTTTTGTAAGTCACTACTAGAAATTCACCAAACAAATTTAATTTTTGCTCAGAATATCACTCTTCCTGCTTTTAATAAATAACGAACATAACAAATTTCCACGGATCACTAACAAAAAATAGAGCATATAATGAAAAAAGTTACCTCTGAAATAACAGAGCCTAATACAATTCGTTCATAATGGATATTTGAATATCGTGTTCAAGTTTTTAAATGAAAGTGATTATTTATTTCGTACAATTAAGTAAAGCTTACAACAATGTAAGTGCAAAATCCAATAGATTCAAGATAGTTCAAATGTGTCCTTAACAAGTTGCTAGTAAGGTTTTACAGTTACCAAAGATTCGTATTTGACATTAAAATTGGACTTGCAGGAAACGAAATAGAATAAAAATGGTTATCATACTTTTTAAAAGAAACAATAGAATTACGACAGTTATGAGACGATGACCACTAAATATTAATCACTGTGTTGTCCTTTTGTCTAATTTATGTAATACGGTCATCAAATTAGGTAGCTGGCGATAATTGTGAACTACATACTTTTGAAAAATAATAATAGATATAAATTCAAACTTAATTAGTATCAGTACTCACTAGCAAGGTTCATTTTAAAAAACCACCTATCATAAATATAAATTTCTTCACACATTTTAATCCAAACAACTAAACAAAGGTTTTGAAAAGATGTTGCAGTGAACGGAGACTCAGATACGGTATACCAATTTATTCTTTTATGCAAAATCGCAATGCCAGTGCTTTTGTAAAATATAAAACTCATACATTGAATACACCATTTGTACATTTTCCTTGAGTTGTCCTTTACATACTCCATCATTCTTCCAATTCTGTTGTTATACCGACTTCTTACTATTTTCCTTCCTCTTTTCTTTATTTCAGTCTTCTGTTGAGAAGCATTCTACGTTCGATTCCTCTCACATACTACTTACATAGGTCCGCATAAGTAGCGCACACCATAATATTTGCAGCAAATACCCTTCTTTAAACGATAAACTGAATAAAGTAAATAAATCGAGTTGAATGATCAATTACTAATGCTGATCGAACTGCCCAATAATGATAACGTATTCAAATATGACAGATGAAGGTAGCTTCTTAACAAACAAATGTCAAAAAATGAGACCTAGATAAGCAGCTGCACAAAACGTAAAAATTTGAAACACGACACAGTAATCAAGTATAAGATTCTACGAAATCAACTTCGAGCTACAATTTTAGAGTAAGAATTAGAAATACAATCAGGTTATTTAAAATGAAATAGATGGAATGACGTAAGGACGTCAGTAGTAGTTTTAAAATTAAGTCCCTTGATCCAGGTTCATGTTACTTCTTGTTAAGGACACTAAAATTAAGCTAATTTTCGTTGATAAATGTTAGTTTTCTTTCCTTTAACAATAACTACAAGTATGATTTTTCTAATTCGTATTTCCTCATGAACTTCAAAATTTTCTGATTAGCTACTATGACTCAATCAGTAAATTTTTGCTTTCAGGTAATAACATCTAGTGACACTACACTAAATTTCGTTTTTCATGAAATAATCTCCGTACTTCGTAAATATCAATCAATGTAGGCCGAACCAAACAAAATTTCGACATGCAACACTAGTGTTAATATTAAAACGTTCGAGCACAGAAAATAAACAATTTTAAAGGAATATGTGAAGATTGGTTCACAAATTTTATTCACCATAGATTAATCTAAATTAGGGTGACATTGAGACATCTGTTTCATCCTAGGATAAGACTCCTCGACAGTGCACACCAATGAACCTCACCAAAGATTGAAAATCGAACCTTCAGCTTTGAAAAGAAGCAAACGATTCATCATTAGAACCACAGGGTGGGCATAGATATAGTTTAAATCTCGTTCACTTATGAAGAAAATTATAAATACAAAAAAATACTCAAATGTATTAAAATAACAAATCTATTTTGAAATGTTTCTCAAACTGAAACACTCACCTAATAATTTATTCAATTGTCTTTCTTTTGTTTCCCATTCAAATGCATGATTATTGAAATTAGATTGAAGAATTTCTAATTGTTTCATGATTGGTTGCGTTGCAGTAGTAGTTGTTTCATTCAATAGATCAATTTTCAATTGGGCATCAGACAATAAACCCTAATACGATATATATATATATATATATATATATATATATATATATGAGAGAGAGAGTAAACAGTTTATTAATGCTATTAGTTTAAAAATGGCTGAAATATCCAAAACAGTTATATTCATTCGAATTTGTTATATCCGAACGAAGAATAAATGGGTAGTAACTGTCAAGAATTATTTATGGATGGTTTTTACATAAATAATTATTGGATAATTATTCGGTGGCTAGATGTTACACGTCACAACAATGCGTTAACTCCTTAATGGAATCAGTCAGCTAAATGTAGCTGCACAGCAGAATCGATGGTCAATCCAAGACCTGATTCCAGTAACATCTGATTCAAATGTCAACGCGTTACAAACTTACGTACCGAGTATTCTAGTTCGATCAGTAGCTCCAAGGTAAATCGTGTATATTAAAGACGTATGTGCCTGGTTATGAAGATCAAGCTTTTTCATTCTACAGCACACGCTGTGAATATTGCCTACTCACTAGTGCGCATTCACAACCTTAAATACAGGAGATCAAGAATGAGATCTTCGTACAGGCTCGTGAATGCTTAATTTCTAAGCCAGATTCCAACGTAGGAGCAGACGCATATATGCATCGGTCCAAGTTGTCACACCTTATCAGCACAATAAGATGAACACCGAATTCATAGTAGTTACTTCAATGGTAGTAATATATAAAAGAAAAATTGAGTATGAGGACATGATACAGAGAGAAAGATTCACTTCATAGAAAGAACAGTATAAAGCAATTTTAAACTCGCGGTTTTAGGTAAGACAAATAGTGTATACACCTGCATCATTGTGATCGATTCTGAGCCATGTCACACAGAGTCTCCAACCATTGGTTACGATAGTCACGCGTACCCCAACCAAGTAGTCTGCATCTATCAACATGCCTCAGACCAGGAGTTGGTGACTACATGGACTGACGCCACATTTTGTTTTGGCCGCCCCTAACTTTCTTCCAACCATCCCGAACACCGGTTAGCATTGCACGTCGTGGTAATCGGTGTTCAGGCATACGCAACACGTGGACCAACCATCTCAGTCGATGAAGATTCACAACTTCATAAACTGATTTACCATCATTCCCTAATCCCCAGCGTCTAACCTCACTATTACTTACCCAGTGATCCCAGCAGATGTCAGCAATATTTCTGAGGCATATGTGGTCAAATACTTGTAGCTTACGAGTATCTTCAACGATTAATGACCATGTTTCGCAGCCGTAAAGTAAAACAGAACGAACTGTCGCGCAGTATACTCATCCTTTTATTGATAGACGGACATCTCGCCTTCGCCATAGGTGACGTAAGTTGGCAAAAACCAAACGAGCTTTCTGAGTCCCTCCAGAGATTTCGCCAGACACCAACCAATTAGAGATGATCAGACTTCCAAGATAAGTGAAGTTGTCGACTCGTTCGACTACTTCACTCCTTATCCTTAATTGAGGTGTTGACGTAGACCAGTTCTGAAGCAACAACTTGCATTTAGATGAGTAGGAACGCATCCCAAACATCCTGGCATTCTTGCTCAGTACTACCAAAAGACTGCATTTCATCACCGTCTTCACCAAAGAGGAAAATGTCATCTGCGTATTCAAAGTCGATAATTGGACCTCCTGGTAGGAGATTAGTTCCTGATAATCCAGTCGGCGAGAAAGTTATTTCCATCAGTATGTCTATGATGAAGTTGAACAAAAATGGAAATAGTGGACAGATGACAGTTAGCCATAATCTCTGACTCGACTGGTTGTTATCGAGTAAAGAGCCTTCAGATGGTTTATGTACTTCTGAGCTACACCTTTCAATGACAGACACTGCCACAGAAACTCTCGGTCAACAGAGTCGAATGTTGCTTTTAAGTGAAGACCACCATTGTCGGACGCCGATAAGCATGCCTGCGTTCTGAAATCTGACGAATGGTGAATATGTGGTCGATACAGCCACGACCAGGTCTGAAGCCAGCCCGATAATCATCGTGTTCAGAGCATGATGTGATGAGTTTACGAGAACCTATCAGTGCAACAGACCTTGAAGAAATCCATTGGTTTTTTGTAACCTCATGGTTTAAACCACTAATAGATGTCACTGATGTTTCCACAACTGATTATATATCTTTCCAAGCAACATCTGGGTCAGCCTCGTTTTCAGAACTGCGTAAGTGTGGCCTCAGTTGTTTCTGGAATCTACTTTTGGCTGTTCATCACTGAGTCCAACTCTAATGGATCTTCTTAATGTGGTTTTTCTACGTCCAGCGGGGCCTAAGCGAATGAGTGCTCATATCAGAGCATGTTCGGAGTCCAAAGAGGTATTGTATTGCAGAAAGGGCGATCGTCTTTGGTTCAGCCCCTCCAACAATGACTGATGGCAATAAGGTTTATTTGAATCCATCGTTAGTTTGGTGCAGGGGGTGTTTGTTCTGTCCTCGTACTCAGTGCTATGTCTACACCCGCCAGTCCACGAGAACTAACCATCGGGTCGCCAGATAAACGGAGGGTGTATCTCGTCGGCTCCCCGTTTTGGCGAGGTGAGGTCAAGTGAATGACCACACTAATATCCTGTATGTGTGTTTCGGAGACACAGTATACATCAATGGTATGAGACTCTAGGGTTTCGGCCAAAGAGGGTGCGTACATTGAAGGCTTCAATGTGTAGTTTGGAGCGAGGTTTCAGTATACCTGAGGCAACGTTTCGCGCACTAGGATCGTTGGCCATGGTGACACTTGAGAAGAAAGTTTAGAGTTGAAAGTCGAGGTAGGAGGAATAATAGAAATTGAGGAGGGAGACTGATTATGAATACAGTGATCTTGAGTGCTGTCAGAAATATGAGGGCGGTTATCACTTCCCGGTCGCCCACACCGTGGAAGGGTTCTTCTGGAGGTACCTGAAAACGAAATACGGTCAGGGGTGGGTCTGAGTGACCTGAGAACGTTACCTCAGTACCCGAGTGACAACTGCTCGAGGCGGGCTAAACACGAGCTTCTTGTCAGTAATTTTCGTGTTAGCTCTGTACTTGTTGGGACCTTATCACCAGAGACGGAAATTCGTGAGATAAGACGAAGTGTGCATTTCTAGGGTCGAGCCTTTCTAGCCCCGCTCTTTCTTTGTTAGAAGGCAGCATCGCTGTTATGCTGGTTATCTGAAGGAAATACCTTACTGCTGTCACACCTCTGTACAGTCAGCAGTACGATTTCGCCTTGGGTTCACTGCTTTTAGTCTTAAGGCTCTTCAAACGACCTATCTGGTATAATAGGACCTTGAGAAACGATTATTTCAGCCAGTATAGCTCGATTGGTTCATTACGGTAGGAAAGCCCGACCACCACTTCAAGGTAGTAGCAACTGAAGATTATTACATTATTATTATACTGTTTATTGACTTTGATAATCTAACCGGAATGTAGTCAGTAACCAATTAATCAGACGCCTAGTTTAATTTCAATGATTCCATTTGTTAGTGGTTTTTGTTATATATGTAATCTACAAGAACCTCAACATTACATAGCGTATTCCATTCGAAGTCACTGAATGTCTATGTTATATCTTTTCACTAGACGATCGATACGCTTTTGTGAACAGAATCACATGTAGGAATGTTTCATCACACGCCTAACAAAATAATAGCATGTTCTTGAGACCCTATTCAAATGAAATCGATGAAGTGTTTAATGTTAAAATAAGAACCGAAAGTTAACCTGGTAATACTGAATTTCTTCTCTCCATTTGATCGCTTGTTCTTCATGTTGTGTTTTAAATGCACGTAAATCTCTTGAATTGCTGTTCAGTTTCTGTTTTAAGGTTTCACATTCAGCCTTTACTTTTTCTAAATCTTCGACACATTGACTTTCAGCTTGTGAATGACAGTGAATTTGATTCAACTGTTCTTTCAACTCTGAATTTTCACTAAAACAAAAGATAAGCAAGAGAATTAGGTAAAATTTGTAGACTTAATAATAATGCTATGATTGCTAATTAAAAGCAAAGTTACGCTCTGAATTGGTAAAATAGTTTTGTCAGCAAAAACAGTTTTACGGTGATAAATACTTCAGAATGAATGCGTTAGGAATGGTCTAAATTACTGCTTACATTGAATATAAGGATTGAAGCAGTTCAGTATACTCACAACTTCACTTAGTATGGGAATTAAATCAACTGATTTAGAAAGCCTGATTGGTTTTCTTCAGCTTATGTCATCTGTGACGTAGTTGAGATGTCCGTCTGATGACCGAAGAGCATGTATACTGGAGATCAATTCATACTACACTAACCCCTGGCTGTTAAATGTGGTCTATGAAATTATAAATCTATAGGCTAAAGGTTTTGATCATAAGTTTCTTAAAAGCATTGCTTGTGTATCATGAAACGACTGAATGAAGACTGAAAGAGTTAGTCTTCGGCAAACATGCAACATCAGTTGATGAGGCTGTGGATCTTCGTCAACTGAAGTGATTCGCACGTGTACTACGTATTTCTAACCACCACCTATCTCAATACATAATGATAGTTTGTGTGCGAGTAAGATGAAAGATAATTAGATGCGGCCCAACTAAGACGTGCCACTAGTTTATCAAGTCATTGAATGTTGGTTTGAGTAATGTTGTTAGATACAGACAATTTGGTTAGGATTAGTGTGAAAGCCACAATCAGTGGTTAAAGACATTTAGTAATATGCCTAAGAACCAATTAAAGCGGAACAAATGCATGCACTCGTCTTCAAGCCCTTGATTTTTATTATTCCTTCATACATACATTTTTATTTCTTTGTTTTGAATTGTTTGCAAAAAACCATTGAAACAAAGAGTGTTTATGTCAGGTAATTGAAGAAAAAAACAGAAAATACAGTCTGTGGCTTTTGTGGACCAATCGATAAGCCTATCTGACGTGGTAAAAGGACTGCTGCTTCCTATAGGATTCAAGCACGAGTCATCATCCGGTGTAACAGTAAGGGACACTACTAATCAGTTACTCATGGAATGACCGACTTCCCAGATGTGTTGTTAATGAACCCTAATAACTACGACACCAAGATTTTACCACGATGTTCAGTCATCTGGGCTGGTGCTTATACTTAACCGATTAAATATGATTAAAAGTAGACAAGACGATATGACATGCGATGGTTACTGTTAGCGGGACATAGACTGGATTAAAGCATGTTCAATGCACGATCGCTTTGCTGCGCGCTGATTGGCTAATTCTTATCCTATCAGCACTAGTCGATAGTTGGAAAATATAGTGAAAATTCCCATTTTGCGATTTGGTAAATAAAGAAGGAACGAATTGAGCGGAAATTTCTTTTCAATTAGTTTTTCATCATGGCTCTACACTAATATTGTTGGGATATTCAGGAAAATATCCCAAAAATTATCCTGTTAAGGCTAATGCTATCCTTGGACATGAAATGGTATCATCTTATTGGTCAATATTTATTTAACGTGTCATTTTCCTACTGGCCATTATTGTACAATGTTATTTTCTATTTTATGGTACGTTGTGGTCTGCTTGACTGGTATATAAACAAAGTATGTTTGAAATATAATGATTCATATATCCGAGGCTGAAACTTTCGTTCTGGACTCAATTGGCTGGGCTATACAGGGAAGCAGGACCAATCAGAACCTTAGGTCGTTCTACGTGTTTGCGCGTCTTTGGTCCGATCAATAATTCGCTACCCTTAATCAGCATTATTTTTCACAGTTATAACAAATATATATACGTTTTGCAATAATAATATAATACTCATCCAGTAGATACGTTACGTGTAGAGCCATGATGAAAAACTAATTGAAAAGAAATTTCTTCGCTCAGTTCGTTCTTTCTTTATTTACCAAATCGCAAAATGGGAATTTTCACTATATTGAAACGTTCTGAGTAAACATTTGCGTTAAAGGTTCTCAATGAGTATCTGAAGTATAGCGCAAGGCTCAGTGAGGCGATGACAAATGTTGATTTTATAAAGGAGTGCCTAGAAACCAACTTGTATCCAAAGTTGTATTGGAAATCTTTACGTCGCTCTTGAGTTCGACCAAATGGAAGGACTCTTAAACGCTACGCCCTTAACCGAATCGATTCTCTAAACTCATACATTGCCGAGATGGTAAAAAATATCAACGAGAGAGTTGGAGAATACTCTAGAATCTTCTCATGTGAAAACTTTAAATATACTAACGTTTTCCCTATTGTGCTTCTTACTTGCTTCTTGCTTCCATCTAACCTTGTTATTTGGAATATAATCTCTTTCCTGTTCAACCGTGTTCTGATTTGGGGACTTGTCGAGTGTACTGGTGTCCGAGAATACTAGCAATAGGAATAGCTGGGTAACAGTTACCAACTGTGTTTTTAGTATACAATAATATGTATTACATGTACAAATACGTATATTTAGGATAAAAACATACTCACTTGATGAGAATCTCCAGCTCCTGTTTTTGGTCAGATATTTTAATTTCATTCTTACTGATTTGAATCTAATTAGTATATGCATAAAAATGTTACTTAGTAGTACCGCATTTCATGTATATTAAATAAATGAAACAAATACATTGTTTTCTTACATTTTCACAGTCGAAAACTGATCACTTGAGATAAGAAGAAGAGTTCATGCTTTATCTATGTCAGTATAACAATTTATGACATTTTTTACTATTCCCAGTGTAACATTTTAGTTAATATGATATCGGTATAAATATATATATATATATATATATATATTTGTAATATTTGTAATAATATGAGTAGAAAAATTAAATTTTCTGAAATTTTGAGAAAAAATAACCAAATCAAAATTAATCCAAGTTTAAATAGTACAAAGGAACAACACAAGAATATTAATGTGCGATCATAACATTCTTGCGTTGTTCCATCGTACTATTTAAACATGTATTAATTTTGATTTGGTTATTTATTCTCTGAAGAAGTGACTTACACCGAATCACAAAATGTCAGAAAATTTAATTTTTCTACTCATTGGGATATCACAAATATATTAATTTTATTATAATAATCTACCCACTGCTCAATTTATTTGAAATTATCAAGTCAAACTTTGATAATGATACCTACAATATGATATCGGGTTTATATCTCTCAGTGTAACATAATTTCAAGTCAATGTGTAACGTATCAATTAAGTGTTAGCTTTAATCAGAATGATATGTGTAAACTTTACGTCCAGTATGACAATTATATTCTTGTTATTATCTTATATGAACTTCGTGTACGTTCGACAGTAAACTTTTTCATTTATATAATGTTTATTAATTAACGACCAAGTGTGTATAAGATCAGTATATAAATGAATGTAATTGGTTTGACATCGTTGTTTTTTTTAAGTTAGTAAATCTTTTTATCTCAATCTTTGAGTCTTCACTTCGCATTGTGGTAATCACATTAGTTCTCGTATCCAAGTGTAAGTAATAGGATAGCGGACATTACAAAAACGTATTCATCATATCATTAGAATCCTACTCAACAATATAAGTAATCTAAATAGCAACTGACTTTTACATCCGAATCATTATTATTACTAGTATTGATAATGTTATACATAGAAAAATATATACTAAGAAATTGAAAAGTGAAATATATTTCAGTGAGGATTGATTACCTTAAGAATTTCCTGTTGTTCTTCCAAATTATTTATCACTTTCGTTTGTCTAGTAGAATTGGCTGATTTAAAAAAAGGTCAAATGAAGGAAAAAACATGAGTCAACTAATTTGTGAAATGACAGTGTTTACCCGTAAATTGATTTAAGAAAGTAACTATTGTTTGAAATGCTACTCGGTATACGTAATAATAGCAACCATAATGGAATAGAACACAGTTTTCATACATTTATCTTTGAATAGCTAAAACAACATATAGTATCACGTATAATAGCATACTAGTCATACAAATTAGTGACAAAAAATACGTGGGTCTTATCTCGTTAAGGTAACGGTAGGAACCAAGGTGCACTGGCGAACTTATTCGTCCTACCAACATACTCGTTTAAGTGAAACCTGAAGGTCCTAGATTCAACCCAAGAGTGGAATCATGGGTTCGTGCTGCTGAAAAGTCATGAAGTCGGACAGGACAGCTATCCATTACTGCTAGACTATTGATAATATCCCAAATGACATTAATCTGTGCAGAATATAACCTAAAAACAGAACCAATTTGAGCGAAACCCCTTCAACAATAAAATACATTCGACGCCTAAGAGTTTGTGATTCAATTGCAATGATCAAGTATGAAGTACATTTTCATTCAAAAATAGCATTGACAATTATTAGAAAAATCAATTAATAGATAGATTTATAATTACTTAGTTGAATACCAAGTATCTCTTCCTTATTTTCTAAACTGCTTCGCAGCCGTTGAACTTCAACAGTTAATTGTTCAATTTGTTTCCTAGAACAAAAAAACACCAGTCAAATAACAAGGATAAATAAAATGTAAGAGTCAAAGACAAAAAATTATAATGATTCAATTATGATATTAAAGTACATAACAATTATACAAGTAATACACAAACAGAAATGTCTACAACACTTTTTTTCACTCTTTTATTTATGTATTAAGCGCTAGTCGGATATCTTCAGCATCTAAAAACATTGTATTATAATGTCTATTTTAGAGCTGCCTATTGAATTTGTTTATAAAACAGAATTGTTAGGTAAATTAGAGTTAGAACAAAACAAATTATACAATTTTCAATTTTCGAAGGTCTAGAGACTAGCTTAAAATTCAATATGTAGGTAATTAATTGCCATAATCCATTCGAGTAAACTTTATATAATATCAAATCTACAATGATTTCATAAGGAGCTTCAAAGAAAAAAAGTTGAAGGAACTTTCAAAGGAGACTTGTAGAATAGATGTAGAGTGAGGCTAACAGTTGAATGTAAGATGAGCATTACATCCCGATTGGGACTCATCAGCTGGATAGTACATCCTGAAGCGAAAATAACGTTATAAATTGAATGAATAACTTGCTGAGAACAAGAAATAAATAATGACAAGGGAAAAACAGTAAAGAAATTTGACTATGAATAGTGATTTATTAGTTTACTTCATCAGAATTATACTAGACAGTAAGAGAAAGAATACAAATGGACACATTAACAAGTTTTCTTTATTTAGAGAATACATATAGAGTGATAAAGACTGTAGAAGTATTAAATACACAATTCAACTTACAAATGTGATGCTTCTGTCTGCTTGCTTTTTTTCTGTTCTGAACGAAGCTTTTTTAATAGATTATTTGTCTTCAACTGATCAGCAGATAATTTATGACCTTCTTTTAATAAATTCTCAATTTCTTCATTTTTCTGCAAAATTACATTCTCTAATTCATTTACACGTTTTCTGTCATAATATTTAGGGGAAGAAAAGACGTAAACAATAAAATAATCAGTCAGTCACAAACAATGTAGAACCTAGCAAATACGTGAATCGGTTCAACTTGTTATATCATATTAGCGCATCCAGATGAAATTATCATGATGAATAATACCATGTTATTAGTATTGTGGTGTGTGCTACCTATACGGACAGATATAAGTAGTATGTATCAGGCATGGGAAGTAGACGTGAGAAAACTGAAAGCAATCAGAAAAAACAACAAGAATTGAGAAACAATGAAGATTGTGAGACAATCCAAAGAAGATGTGCAAATGGTGTATTTAATGTATGATTTTCATATTTTACTAAGCCATGGTGTGACTTTGCATTAAACAATAAATCGGTTATCCCCACCAAATCTTCGTTCACTACAGTATCAATAATAACGAAACAGATTAGGCGTAGAATGAATTCGTGAAATAAAAAGTACAAATGATGTCGAAACTCGGGATCTAATTGTGGACAAAGAATGGATGTATATGCACCATTGCAACTGAATTTGAGACATATCACGAAAAGTATTCAACTACTGGTCATGGTGGTCGCAAGAACACCAACCAGATAGTTTACATCTACCAATATAGCCCAGTACAACAGTTAGTGACCTAATGGACTGGCACGACATTTTGGTTTGGTCATCCCTAGCTTTCTTCCAACCTACTCACCCTCAAATCAATATCGTGCGTCGATGTAGGCGATGGTTGGCAACACATGATAATCAATGATTGACAGAATTATTTCTAAAAATCACTTAATTTGAAAAAAAGATTTCCTTCCCGAAATCTAATTAGCATGAACACCACTGTATAAAATCTAGATAAAGCCACCTTAATGAATAATAACCAACTCAATATTTAACCGACCCTCTACAATGTATGCATCTAAAATCTATCAATTACATAGGTTTGAGCAGACTAGTAATATAAATAGCCCTCTTACATGAGGTAAAGTACACAGACGAATACAATAGATCAGTACACTTGGTAGATGAGTTACTTAATCATATTCCACTAAAAAAGTACTAGACAAAATGGAAGCCTATAATTGACGAATAAGTTATATTAAATTCAACAGTCGCGCACCATTTCAATGTCCAAATTACTAAGTTTTACCACACCAAGTAAGAATTTAATAAGACGAAACCAATTTATTATAGAACCATTCAATAAATTGATTACACTTGGATGATAAACTTACATTTCAATTAAAGAATAATTTTGACTGATATATGCGATTAGTTTTATAGTTATGTTCAGAGTAAAATAAACACGTAATGTGGTTAAGTATCTGTTTAAGTCAATTTGTTCATATAATGGTGGAAACTTATACCTATAAATGAGCAACAAGTACTTAACGACAATTATGTTTGATATAGTTTTTTTGATGAATAGATAAAATAGATAGCGAACTCCATATGTAGAAAATAGAGTATCTGAAGGTTATGATGCTACGCCACATTTATTTCGCTCGCAAGACATCCCGTTACCAAAATTATAGAACAGTGTATGGAAGTTGCATGTGTATGTGAAGTGTATAAAATGTAATATGCTTATTGCGCAACAGCAATAAGTATTAGATAGAAGCTTTAAAATGCTGAATCAGTGATTTTAAAAATTAACAGAATGATTGAAAACTGTATTTCTATGCTTTTGATTTAAGTTGGAGAATAACTAGCAGTAGAATACAAGACTCGTGTTTTGTCGTATTTAGGAATAACCAGTTGGATATACCCACCACATCCCAGTGTTGATGTTCAAACTGAGAATAGAACGCAGTATCTCTCTCTTCAAAGTTACCATGCTTATACTAGAACAACGGGAGGAAAGTAACTATACGTTGAAATTAACATCATGAAAATAAAGAAAAATGTATGCATGATGATAAAACGTTGAAACATAATAATAAAAGTAACTTACATATCATTATTTACGAAAGGTTTATCATCACCTACAGCACGTGTGATCACCGGAATTTTTTGTTTCACCGACGACAAACTTTTTTTCAATTGGTCTCGTTCACGACAAACAACCTGTAATCGTTTCTCTGTATCTGATAAACGTTGAGAAAACTCTGAGGTAATACTGGACACATCAGTAGTGACAATTTCTTGTGTGGTCAGTGTAGTTTTTAATTGCCTATAAAATAATAATAATAATAATAATAATAATAATAATAATAATAATAATAATGTTAAAACACTAGAAGATGTAAACAAAAGTTAACAGAAAGGAAGACACTAATAAGTAAAACTTCGATGCTGTAGAAGGATGCACCATAACCTTGAAATTAACATATCATGATAAAGATGCTCCAACATATATAAAGCCAATTATCGATGTAAGTATAACATTTAAAAGATACGACGAAACAATACAACCGTTCGTATAAAAATGCATTATCATGACCGTTTCAATAAATAGGAACAAAGCGTTGAGGGGAAAGGGAATTCAAAAGTGTATACCACTAGATTATCACTCATTGTTCTAAAATGCTGTGATCTCTTTAATACCTGGATGTCTTCGTCCCTATTCTCCATAAGGTTTGAGGTCCACTCGATTAAAGGGTCCAAAACCGGAGAGAAAAAGGTTCCTAGTGTTTATTGCTTTCTAGTGCTTCTTTAACTTTTATTTCAAAATGAAAATATCTTCACATTATACCAAATCTCTCAAAATCCGGACAGCTTCGATCAACCCGATGAAGCCTTCAGAGGTCCTCTGAGTTAATAGCTCATCTCGTAACCCACCCGGTTTAGTCCTGATCTGGAGCTCATTGGAACTGGATTAATTATCCTGACATAAATAATGTAATCATCTGATCTTGAGAAGCTAAAAGTAGGCTCTGCTGCCATTGAAGTAACAATTTCATTTACTCCATAAAAGTGCACATACTGATCTTTATGCGGACAGATTGTCTTGTAATACCAACCTCCACATGACCAGCATGGAGATGATTGATGATAAAAAAATAAAACGTTTAAAAATAATATAAACCCGAAAAAACCACCTAATAAAAATGGATCATTTATGAAAAATTAGTTTTGTAGAAACAATCACATGTTAAGAGATTTTCGAAAAATTAAACTGGATAACGAGAAAATATATATTTCTATTACATACTCTTGCAATATTGAGACTGAATTCTGTAGTACGTTGTTCTCATGGCTAAGTTGCATAATTTTTGCTTCACGAACATTTAGTAAATGTTTGACATCGGAGAACTTCTGAAGCAACAAAAATAAACAGCATTGAAAAATATTAAACAATAAATTGTATGGAATATCTCTACGTGAATCGTTCAGGTTCGAAATATGCGTGAACTAATAAAAGTTTTCAAAGATACCTAGCTAGATTAGTCGAGTCAAATAAAACTACTTACGAATCGATTAAAGTTACGATTATAAACCACTGAATGTATACTCTGGGGTCTAGAGGTTAATCGCTCCCAGAGAGACACGAAAGCTTTGGGATCGATCACCGGTAGGGATCACGGATGAGCACTGCTGAGTCATATACCTGAACAGAACAGCTATCTAGTGCTTCTCGGTTTTTAATGGCTGACGAACAAAGGTTAGTCCATAGTATAAACTATGAAGTAGTTATGAGTATGTATCCATGAGTAATTCACCTCCTAACAGAAACAACCACTGAGTTGAACAGAATCGGAATTAAATTATCTACCACTGAGGAAATAAACTCTAAAACATGTTAAAACTTGCTAGAAATCACATTATGCTGCTAAAATTGTTATTGTATTTATTTGGTGTGATATCCAAATTTATAGTAGTAGCTTCTTTTCATGAATCTAAAAGCACTATCAGCCAATACTCTAACCCGCTCTTCACGTCATAGTATTGGAATTTATTCCAGTCCATAAATTCTATGTAACGTCAAATTAGTAAAGCAGTAAGTTGGTAGTTAAATGAATCCTGATATCGGCATACAACTTTATAATTAATATTGGGAAGAGAAAGCCCAGAAAGTCCAGAACTTAGAGAAGCAATAATCTACTCTAAAGATTTTACCTACTGAGTTCTTATAGAATAGTTCAAGTTAGACTATGCATAAATGACGATCAACTAGGATTAAGCTTTCTGATGTCAAAATTAATATTAAGTTTGTGCCTAAAATGTTATAAAAAATAAGTTTCATCAACACAATCAAGATAATAACAATAACTAGGTCCTTTGAGTTGCTCATTTTCACTCCATTAAACTTGATCACATACTTCTAGAACCTCGAAAATCATCATCATAAATCTGTACATCAAAAAAAATTTCCAGATTCACACTGGACTTTCCTAACAATCCTTTACTTTGTGAGAATGCATTACTACTAAGAATCCTGGTTATTCTTAGGAATTTTCTTACCAATCCCACATCCAGTACAGTTAGCAATCACTATGATTTCTCCAACATCTGAAATTGACTACGTTTGCTTTTACCTGCTCTCCAGCCAATCTACCTGACACCATAAACAATTAAGAAATAGACATTTCACCTAACATAGATGCTACCCTAATATGTTGAGTGTTGGATGCCTAAAACACTGTACCGTTACTAAATTATTGATCATGAACACCATATAGTATTATTTTACGTGCTTAAAAAATTAAACACAAAAACGGTCATAGCCTAAATTATCATAAAAACTAGGAACTGTTTTTGTTAGGAGGTAGGTATATTCTCTAGAGGATTTCAAATCCATATTGAACAAAAATCAGTATCCATATGTTTAAAGAATAGTAAATCTTTAAAAAAAAACTTTAGAATAATACTAATCTCACTAACCTTAGCGAGGTCATGATAGGCAAATGTCAAATCATCGTCAATAGTATTTTGCAAACCTTTATAATTAAAACAAAAACAAACAAACTTATTTTTGTCGCCGAACATGTAGTTTAAGTTTATGAACTCGTAATTATCGGCACAAAGCTTTACTATTTCAATTTCATTTTAATCAATATGTTTTTCAGTACAACTGTTACTTGAATAAGAAACAGGTAACTGTTCAAGTTTTTTAGAAACCAGATGAATAAGTTTTTATTATTTTTATCCTGAACCATTCATCATAGAAAATAATCTTAATACTTTTTCTTAAAGGTAAGATCAAAGAACAGTTGTTCATGAGTTCGACAGGGAATTGTTAAGTATGTAGACACCATTGACATACAGTTTACTGATCTGAACCTTGATTGAGATGCGAATTTCCGTTTTCTGTTTCGACTTTTTAAATAGATAAATAGCGAATTGGTCTGTCAAAAATCTAATTTGGTTAGACCAATCAGTCAGTCTTAAGCTATGTAAAACCTGACACATGTGCATCAATTCAAGTTGCCACACCAAATTAGCACATCGAGATAAAATTATCAAGGCAAATCCCGAAATAACAGAAGTAGTAACACCGTCAGTAATAGTAGGGTAATTGTGTATGCTTTTTATGTCTCTCGACATAAGTAGTATGTAACGCCAATCAAAAGTTGAATGGCTGGAAGCAGATACCTAAGAAAACCGGATTGAAGAAAGCAGAAAGGAATTGAGAAGTGGAAGAATCATGAAGTATATAAAGGATAATTGATGGAAGATTTGTAAATGAAGTATTTAACGTATTTCTTTTCAATCAGTTTTTCATCATGGCTCCACACTAATATATATATATATATATATATAGCCCAGGACTGTGGAATTACACTTTATCCAAACATTTGTTATTTGTATAAAACAGATTTAGCTTAATATTTTATAGATCGTTCATTGAAATTGGTCCCCATTTTATATGATCATATAAAATCTGTGGGATTATATAAACCCACATTTTATGCTTGTTGGGACTCGTCAAAATACATAACTACACAATTAAGGAGTGCATTGAAATCCTTCCTCAGTGCTCTAATATATACCACCCAAATACTCCTCAGTCAAGGGCATTAGCATAATTAGGAAACCTCGAACCAGATTTCGATATTGTTAAAAGACATTTTGAAACATCGCCATGATTTAAAACAAATTTATGCGCATTAGATTACTCAATTCAGTAGACAAAGAAGCTACTATATTATGGTGTCTTTTTCACTCAGTTTCCCTAGACAAGAGTGATGAATAACAAGAAATCAATATTTGACACAATCTAAGATTGGATATGTTTAGGCTTTACTCTATGCCACCTAATTCAGTGAAAATGATTTATTTCTCAAGTGATAAAAAGTTTTTAAAACAGGTTAAGAATTTAAGTAGAATAAACGGTGTATTTTACTTATCACTAATAGCAATTTTACGTATAAGCAACAAACCGTGTACAGATAAAATACCTGCCTTAAGAAATAAATGTATGTGAGTTTTAAATGCTGTTGGGAGTATAAGGGTGGTTTCCCCTTCCCGGTTGGTCACACCGTAGAAGTACATATCTTAAGTGAACTGAAACAGAAACTGGATTAGGTGTAACACTGCCGACTTGGAAGAGTAATCAGTGCCTAAAAGACAGCTCCTCGGGGCCTTTTCTTGGATAGCCTTGGATAATATCACCTCAATCACTTTAGGACCTTGATGATGGACGTCCTTGGAGTAAGGACATGCGTGTTATTTTGGTCTAAACTTCCCTAACTCCTAGTCCATTCGTGAGAAAGCAACACTGATGCAGATACTGGTTGTTTGAGGAGAACTCCATGCTGCAGTATGAATTTGACCACGGACTATGAGCCTGTTATTTTCAGTTTTACTGCCTTTCAACCAACCTGCCTTGTACAACAGAACCTAAAGGAACACGTTTCCCAACGAACTTTGCCAACATATTTCTACTGAGTTATTACGATATGGAAGCACGACCATCAGTACATCAAGGTAACAGCTACGGCTGGAGGGAAATACATATGAAGCAAAACAATTGATCTATAAATATGTTTCAGATGAATTAAGGACTTTAAAAATATTTTTAGACTGAAGTGGTCTTTCGAAATGAAACAAACTTTTCTTCAACAGTATTAAATAGATTTTAATCAAAAATAATATGAAACAAAATATTCATTACCATTGAGCTTACCCATACATAAATCTTGCGAAACACTAACAGATCTACGATGTTCAGGACCACTAGAACTAAGAAAGTGGAGTAACGAGAAGTTAAAAAAAACGATAATGCAGAACATTTGATAAGTGTTGATTTGTTTCCAAATTTGTAATATCAATTATAATTTATGATACTCTAACAGTTAGTATAATGATATGCATGAAAACGAAATCAAGATCCCAGTGCTTGCTTAAAAGAAATAATTGATGCATTTAAAAAAGACAACCAACAAACCTGAAATACTATATTAGGCTTACCATTTGTTTAAAACAATCGGAGCACTAAATCCTCTAAGATAATATTTTTGCAAAACAAGTGAGTTTTGATTGAATCCCGATGACAGACGTGGCTCTTTAACAGGAGACATAATAGTAGGTGTATTAGAAGAATGTAACTCGTGGACTTCACCACCATATGTAGAATTACAACACGAAATTACTTCAATATCCGAACTAGTGGTATTAGTATCAAAATCGTCATCGGCACATACTGGTTGAGCAGTGAGTGGTAGTACTATATCAGATGAAGAACGATGCAAAGAGGTTATATCTTTATTGGGAATTGATTTATTCACTAACTGCAATTCCTTTTCTAGGGATGACAATTGCGAATTTACATCAACAGCTGATTCTTGTGCAATGTATTCCGAAGAAATTGTTACTTTTGGTGCATCACACTTTTTTTCACATAAATCCTGTGATGTTTTTTGTTCAGTGACAGTAGAACAATCATTAACCAATGTAGAATCTATTTCCCACTGTAATACAGAAATATTAAATCCTGATTAGTTTGACAAATGGGTATTTAACTCTGAAAGTAAGTATGAATGTGCTGTTTAGATCAATAAAAGTATCAAGGCTATATTGCACTGCAACAGGTAATTTTCTAAAGTTCTAATATAAAAACAGTGCCGTCAAAAGACTACTCATCGTATCTTCACCGAATAATTCGAGCGCGGTCCAGCAAACCTAAACTGTATGGGTACCGATAATAGAGCTAAGGCGAATAAGCAAACACAACACTGGAAAAAATACCACTTTAAGGGTCATATCTTAGCTAATCTAAATGAAAGGATGAATCCCACAAGTACACTATTATCTTCAGGTGTTCTATAGACAATTATCCCTCAGAGAACTATCCAATAATTTATCTCTTACTGAATTCATGTGAACTGATTTTTTTTTCTCAAGTCGCTCTGATTTATTAAAGATAAATGAACAATGTAATACTGTGTGAAAAAAAGTTCAGAAAATATAATAAAAAGCAACCCAGTTATTTATAACGCACAACAGATATTTGGAGTGACAGCAAGCAACGTGTACGTGATGATATATCCGCTTTTAGATAATGAAATACCCTTTTAAGTCGTACAGTGAATTGCAGATCAACACTGAAGCAACAAAATAATATGAACTGCAAAAGTAGGTATGATCACATGGTTACTTTCCTTCCACCTTTTAGTATTGGATTGATAATACACACCGACTGTACTTCGTAAAAAACTATATATGAGCATACTTGTTGCTCTCTTACAACCTATGATAATTGAATTATTACAAATTTACTTCAGATTCATAGATAAGCTAGTTTCATGTAAAATAGAGTAAACTTAAACATTTCATCATCTATAAGTGACACCTTAAGAACGAACAGGAATGCTCTATGTGTACAAAACAGATAAATCTTTATTCTACGTCGTTCATGAACAATTACTTTGTGATTTAGTTTTTCAGTTTGTGTCAAAAACCAATTCCGAAAAGTAGGTTCGCAGATTCATCAAATGGGCGAGACTATAATTTATGGACGAACCAATCAGATTTACGATAACAGGTCTTGAATTTTGGCACGAAACTAATTAATTCACTTGTATAAATAGCATTTTGCCATTATAGCTTATGTCAGTTCGTGACGAAAACCTTAAATCTAATTCCTAACCCTAACTATCAACTGTACACATTAATCCTAATACCTCACACTGGTTTATAACCCTCACATAACCGCAGTAAGTGAACATTTTCAAGATCTTTTTAGCATCGCTCAAAGGTCGTCCATAAAGTATAGTCTCACCTACAATTTTATTACCAACCTCAAAACAACCAACAATTGTTTGCACTTTCGTGTAGCACCATAAGATAACTGCAAGGTACTTAATGAAGCAGTTTACATGAATCAGAGAATAAGTAAATCACAATTTTTCCTAGCCATCCACAACAAAAATCAAATTCGCCTACAGAATGTATTCGAAATATCACAAAATCAAGAATGTATCGTGTTAACGATGTAAACTTATTCGACATAACTACATACTAACTGAGAAAGAAGGTAAGAAAGTCATATACAGTTTCCTCGACAAGTATTGCTTCACGATCGAACCGAGATCACTAAAATTACAGTTTTAAAGAGAGTAAGAACAAAGGTTGGTGCAGAATAATATGAATTCATTTTATTTCGTTAGGTTCTCATCAGCTGCTTACAACCTAAAATATTTGAAATTCAACGTTATTATAGATATTGACATACTTATACAACAGAGGGCGAAGAAGGATGAATATATGTAACATGATGTGGTAAAGATTTCGTTAGAGTTAATGAGGTCATAAAATTTTTTGTTTCGAATATATAGAGTTTGGGAGGGAAGGTTCCAGAAAATTGAAATACTGATTAGAAATCATGGAATTAAAACACATTAGACGATTATGTAATGAAGTAACTGAAAATAGATTAATGGTAATAAAGAGAGATATGAATTGAAATTGGTCAGTTATGAATGATGTAATTATAAAATTCAGAAAGAGTTGAAATGACGTAACAAAATTACAGTTAACTGACAAAGTAAAATATCATCTAGCTAATGTGAATCGATTTGGACCACTATGAAATAATGAAGCTGATCGTTCGGATGCCCTAGGTTATAACAGATAGATGAAAGTTTCAGAGTTATATCCGAACGAACAATAGGCGAATGGTAACTGCTAGGATCTATTTATGAACTGTTATATATATATATATTCTTATTGCATAACTATTTAGTAACTATATGATATACATACTCACATTCCTTTTATTATAAGCTTCCGTCTGACTATTTTTATCAGAATGTGTTTTGAAATCATAAGTCAGTTGAAGCTAGACCACCATTGAAAACCTGGAAGCACTGGACGGCCGTTTCGTCCTAGTATGGGACTCCTCAGCAGTGCGCATCCACGAGGAGTCCCATACTAGGACGAAACGGCCGTCCAGTGCTTCCAGGTTTTCAATGGTGGTCTAGCTTCAACTGACTTATGATTTCAATCTGTGAAAATTTCTAAAAATCTCCACAAAACACATTCTGATTATTGACTATTTGTTGTATCGTGTTGGGATAGTCGGAAAAATATACCAATAATTATCGTGTTAAGTCTATGGTGGCCTTGGACCTTAAATGTAAATTTCTTATTGGTCGATGTTTGTTTCACTTGCTAAATATTGTGTAAATGTTGTTTCTATTTTATGGTACGATGTGGTTTGTTTGTTTGGTATATAAATATAGTATGTCTGAAATACAAAGATTCATAACTCAGAGGCTGTGACTTGTGTTCTTGACTCAACTGGGTAGGACAGATAGCGAAGCAGGGCCAATCAGGGCACTAGGTCGTCCACTACGTGTTTACGTGTCCACTGTAATCGATCGATATAAACGCTGCTCCATCTAAACTGCAGGCCACACATTACAACACTATTATTACATGACTTACTATCCTTAAGATATTCCCAATTTATTGGGTACATCCTCTCACAATCACATTCACTTTTGGCCTAATCTTGTATAATTGTTATTTTCTGTTTTAATGGTATGATGAGGTCTGGCTTGATTGTATATAAACTACGTGTGTCTGAAATATATTATTCGTTTAATGGTGTTCGAGAATACTAAGCAATAGCAAGAGCTGGTTTATAACCGTAAAAGAGAGAATTTAACAGTGGCGACGAGGAAAAAGGAAAACAAAATCAAGATGTCCATATCAGATGACCAGCTTAACCGAATACTACAACAACAGCAAGCACAACTTGATACACAAATGCGGTTATTGCAGACTCTGGCTCAACAGCTTAACATTCACTGCCCGAGTTCACATGCTATTTCAAGCACGTCTTGTGATTCAGTTGCTAGCAGCATCCCAGAATTCATCTATGATCCCGAAAGTGGAAATACTTTTCTCACGTGGTTTAAACGTTGGGAAGATACATTTACACAAGAATTATGTAACCAAGACGACGCGTGGAAGACTCGACTGTTGGTACGTAAGTTGGGAAGCAATGAACATGCACGTGATACTGACCATATATTGCCAAAGTTACCTCGAGAGCTAAGTTTCGAGGAGACGGTAATTCAATTGTCAGAGATATTCGGTGAGTCATCCTCATTGTTTAGTATTCAACATCGGTGTCTAAATTTGGTGAAACGCGAAGCCGATGAATATGATGTTCTAGCAGACATCGTCAACAGAGAATGTGAACGGTTCAAGTTACGCTCGTTGACAGATCATTTTAAATGCTTAATATTCATCAAAGCTCTTCAGTCACTACAAGATGCTGAGATCAGGACTAGACTTTGGGTTCGCCTAGATCAAGACCCGAAAGTCACACTCAGAACAGTGACAGATGAGTGTAAGCGGCTAAAAAGCATCAGACACGAAAACAAGTTGATTGGACAAACAAATCCTAATTTAATCTGCAGTAGTGTCAATGCTATTACTAGGTTAAAAGTTCAGAAGCCGATAACAACTGGTAACAAACCAACGACTGCATGCTGGTTATGTGGTGAGTGGCATTATGTACGGTTCTGTCCATTCAAGCATAAACGTCAGGTGTGTAACAAAAGTGGACATAAAGAAGGTCATTTTCCACCGAATCGTACGTCTCGGCCCAAGAAGAAGCGCAAGCGTCCTCGACGCACCAGATCCTACGAATCTGCTCAAAGGGGAGGTGTTAGCGGGACATAGACTGGATTAAAGCATGCTCAATGCACGATTGCTTTGGTGCAGGCTGATGGGCTAATTCTTATCCAACCAGCGTTAGCCAATACTTAGCGAACACTCTAGAAATCTTCTCAAGTGAAAAACTATAAATATACTAACGTTTTCCCTATTGCACTTACTTGCTTCTTACTTCAATGTAACCTTGTTATTTGGAATATAATCTCTTTTCCTGCTCAACCGTGTTCTGATTTTGGGGACTTGTCAAGTGAGTCGGTGTCCGAGAATACTAAGCAATAGGAATAGCTGGGTTATAACCGTAAGGGAGAGAATATAACATAAGTCGGTGTTTCTAAATGGGGACTAAGTCACACGATACATTAACAGGCCATAAGTACATAACAGTCAGCTTAATCTGAGTATACTGAGTTGACCTGGAACTCATACTAAATTACCTAACCAGTCAGTCAGTAATAACGTAGAACTTCGTACGTACGTACATCAGTTCGAGTTGCCATACCACATTAGCACAGAGATGCAGTGGTCGATTCAAATCCCGTAGTGGTAGAGGTAGCAAAAGTATAGGTAGTAATCGGAAAGATTAGGGTTTGAAGATGTTCATTAAGGAGTATAATACAGTGAAATAAATTTGGAAAGAGAAAAAAAAGGAACATGAAGAATTCAGAAGGCTACCACTTGGGAGAACACAAAGAGTGGATGCACCTGCGCCATTGCAAACGATTTTGAGCAATGTCATTTAAGGTCTCTAACCATCGGTTGTTATCGTCTCGCTGATCCCAACCAGGTAGTCTACACCTACCAACATAGCTCAGTCCACTTGTCAGTGACTTGATGGATTTGTGCCATGTTTTGGTCTGGCCGCCCCTAGCTTTCTTCCAACCTACTCCTACACCATAAAACATCGTACGTTGGGGCAGTCGGTGGTTGGGCATACGTAACACGTGTCCCAGCCATCTCAACTAATAAAGTTCCAATACTTCATCAGTTGATTCGCCATCCTTACCTAGTATCCGTTTCTTAACAACTGCATTACTTACTCGGTGGTCCCAAGATATACGAGCAATGTTTCAAAGACACCTATGATCGAATACAAGTAACCTACGAATATCCTCTACTCTTACCGGCCATGTTTCACTGCCATAAAGTAGGACGGAACGAACTGCTGCGCAGTAAACACGTCCTTTGGTTGATAGACAGATATCTCGCCTACGACATAAATGACGCAAGTTGGCAAAAGCTAATCGGGCCTTCTGTTTCCGTGCTGAGATTTCGTCACACGCCAGACCACAAGGACTGATGAGACTTCCAAGATTAGTGAAGCGGTCGACACTCTCAACTACTTCACTCCCTATCATTAGTTCGGGTGTCGATGCAACCCAATCCGGAAGTAACATTTTGCATTTCAAGGGGGGAATCGCATGCCGAACGTGTTTGCATTGTTGCTTAGAGTGGTCAGAAGACTCTGCATTTTGTCAGCGTCTTCATCAAATAGAACTATGTCATCGGCATATTCCAAGTCAACAATTGAATCTCCCGGTAGAAGTTCAACACCGGGAAATTTAGATGAAGAAAGTGTTATCTCTAAGAGCATGTCTACGATAAAGTTAAACAAGGATGGAGAGAGTGGACAGCCCTGACGAACACCACTTGAGGTAATCAATTCTGATAACAGTTCTCCATAAGTTCTCACTCGGTCAGTTGTGTTCGAGTAGAGGGCTTTTATAAGGTTAATGTACTTCTTTGGTACTCCTTTCAGTGACAAACGCTGTCATAGAATCTCACGATCAACAGAGTCAAATGCCGCCTTAAGGTCAACCTACTTAACATAAGACAGTAAGCAGCTGCAACATTTCAAATAGGCCTGATCTAACACAGTTTACATGTTTTGCTTTATTATAAATTTTCATTATTGTGGCATGGGTTAAAATTATACAAACACCAAGCAGACACACTGTAATGCCCAATAAAAGATGGAACTGACGTGGTTTATTGACCACTTGTAAAACAAAATATCTTTTTCTTGTTAACCAATGAATCAAATTTACCTGATCTCAAAATTCTAGATTGCTATACACACATGAAAAAATATGCTTAAAACCTTGAATATATAAAATTATCACGAATAACGTGTTCGAAGTTAGAAACAATGGGATTATTCGATTATTTTATGGACTGTAAAATGAGATACTATTTGATCTAAAGAAAACGTGTGCACGATTTTTGTAACACCACCCTGACAAAATGGAGAACTACATGCGTGAAAAAGCATTTGGGAACATTTTAAACAGGATAAGCGGAAATCAAAACGGATGAAAGTCTGTCTGGCAAAAGCAAGTAACAAGTATGCACAAAGCAATAAATCTGTCACGTGTAAAACTTAGCAGGTGTTTTAGATTTAAGTGAAATTAGTAACAAACACTTGTTACTAAAAGTTGCGTCATGCATAGATTGTAGAAGTGCAAGAATATCGTAATACGCTCTTAGAAAGTTGCGCATCAAAATGTCACCCCATAAATATGAATGTATCGCTGTTTGTATTCCATCCGACAAAAAAATATCATGATCTTAACAAAAAAGACAGCTATTTTTAAATGTTCAAAACAGTGAGTGGAAATGGTAAAATAAGATCTGTTTGTATATATCTTTCTTAGTAGAAGAAAACATAAGATGTGAAGACCTACCAACTCATCAGTTTTAGTGTTCTCATCAGTTAGCACCTTATCAGAATCACTGGATGCGAAATTGTCTAATTGGTCGTAAACAACTTTTTCCAGAGAATCCATAAGAGGTGAGTGATGACTTCTCAAACTTGTTGAACAAGATCTCTCCAAATCTCCACAATCGCTGCCTACTTCACACTCAGATTTCTCTGAAATTAGATAGTAACCAGTGATGTTAATTAATGAATCTAAGAATGAAAAAAGCTCTCAGCCTCACTTTATTAATATTAATTGAGATTGAAAATACGAAGTAAGCATATGAATGCAATACAAATAAACTAAAAGACGTTACCTGTAATTATATTAATCTTCAATGTTAACGACTTTTCTCACAGTTAATCTCCTACGCCACCGAACTGTAATTTTATACCGCCAAAAGGGTACATCTTTATTTATTTTTGACAATGGAACACTGAATTTAGATAAAATAAACGGTGATGGTGCTAGTGCTATTGCAAACAAACAACTTATTCGAGAAATGAGATTTTATTTATTTATTTATTTATTTATTTATCTGAACACATAAATATTGGTATAAGGTGGCACCAGATATTTATGCGCCACACAAAACAATGTGAATGGGGAGAAAAGAAGAAAAGGAACAATAAGGACCAGATTAATGTAAGGAAGTGTAATAATAATAATAATAATGGGGGATATGGAAAGGTACAACCAAAAAGAATTCTTTCAGTTAAGGAAGATACAACCATTTTTATGAAGAAAGTAAAAGAAGTTTACAGCAGGATCGCCACTGGCTTCTATTCTGAGCCATATCTGATAACGTCTCTAGCCACTGTGTTGCACCATCTCTCCGACCTAAGCCAGCGAGTCGTGAAAGACCAACAGAAGCCAGTCCCGTGCAGCTTTCTTTCATACCCCGACACCATGTCATACACTGACCACCTCTCCGCTTCTTCCAACTAGTCTCAGAGTCGACAAGTAATGCACGACGTGGGATTCTCTGGGACAACATTCGTAGAATATATCCAAGCCACCGAAGTCGACGTTTCAGGATGATGACACCAATTGAATTATCGTCTCTGCGCCCAAACACATGATGCCGAACCTCTGCATTACTGACATGGTGTTGCCACTGAATGTCAGCAATCCTTCAGAGAAAACGACGATCGAACACAGAGAGTCGTCTAACGTCCTCAACTCGGAGAGGCCAGGTTTCACAAGCATAGAACAAAACTGCTCTCACCGACGCGTTTTAGGTCCGACCTTTTACAGCCAGACTGACATTACGAAGGCGCAGATTGGCCTAAGCCGCTCCAGCTTTCACCACACGTGCATTGATCTCATCACTCACACCCCTACCAGCACTTATGCAGCTACCTAGATACACTAACTTCTCGACTACGTCTATCTGCTCACCATCCAGGGTGAGTACAGGAATGGAATTCTGCCAGTCTTGTAGAAGTACTTTGCACTTCAAACGTGCGAAGCACATACCGTACCTACAGACATTGATTGACCACTGATTAAGTGCGGATTGCATGACTTGAACATTATCGCACAGTAAGACAATATCATCCGCATACTCAAGATCGAAAAGTCTTTCTCGAGGCAACCGATCCACACTGCCATTAATTACAACCATCACAGCTGTTTCCAGAATGTCATCGATGGCAAAGTTGAAGAGGAGTGGTGAGATTGGGCAATCCTGTCTAACCCCACTGCTCAAATAGAACAATGAAGAGAGGTAGTTGTACGCCCTCACTCTGTCTGAGTTGTTTGCATATAGGGCCTTTAAGATGTTAATTAACTTCTCAGGAACACCCTTCAATAGACAGTCTTTTAGAACAGTCCTGTCCAACGAATCGAAGGCAGCCCTGATGTCAAGAAACACTACGATTGTTGACCTGTGATAAGAATGGCGGTGTTCTAACAGTTGGCGGAGGGTGAAGATATGATCAATACATCCTCAACCAGAACGAAACCCAGCCTGCTCCTCGAGAGTCAATCTTTCTCGAGTTTTGAACAACCTACGAAGTATGACGGAAGCCAATAGCTTGGACGCGATCGGAAGTTGACTTATCCCCTGATATTTGTTACAGAAACGACGTGAACCCTTTTTAAAGATAGGGACAACTATCGACTCACTCCATGACGTTAGTACACTCTCTAGTTCCCAGACCTTTGTAAACAACGTCGTCAGTTCTTTAGTCAGAAAGTCACCACCATCTTTAAAAAGAGCCGGAGGTAAGTCATCTGGGCCAGGTGAATTCTAACGCTTCAAGAGTTGGAGTTCCTTGCGGACTCCCGCCTCATTTGGTGGATCAGTCGTCACCGGTCATGGGGGGGCAGGACAGTCTGACCGATGTTGCCGGAGCAGCAGGCCAGTTGAACTGCCCTTCGAAGAATTCTGCCCGTCGTCCAAGACGTCGATGGATGTCAGTGATTGGCATCCCGTCATCCTCGCAGATTGTTTCACTCACACCATACTTCTTGCTGCCAGTGGCTCGTATGAGCCGCAAGCGGCTTTACTCGCCATTTTGATGGCGTCGTGAAATTGCTACCAACTTGCTGACATTAATCCTTTGGTGGCGGTCACTTCGTTGGCCACTGAGAAGGTAAGATTGGCGCAAACAAGGGCATGATCAAAGCCCAGATAGGTACTCCAAAAGCAGTGGCAGTCTTGTACACAACCACGCCAGCGGTAGCTGATCGCGATGTGATCAATCTAAGTCCAGGCTTGAGATGCAGAGGTAGGACGCCAGGTAGCACATCGGCGATGACTGTGCCGAAAGTTGGTGCTAGCCAGAAACGGGTTGTGGTATGTGCACAGTTGCAGTAGACGGTCCCCGTTATCTGTCATGCGACCAATACGTCCCAACCGGCCACCTAAACGATTCTCTTCTGTGCCTAGACGCCCGACCTGAGCATTCAAGTCTCCGGCTAGTACTACAATGTCTGTCGGACGCACTATCTGGAGAAGAACAGTTAACTGGTTATAAAATTCATCTTTGATTGCATCCGGGTTGCAATCTGTCGGGACATAAGCAGAGATGATGAAAAGACATCGTTTCTCACGCCAATTTCTTCTCACTTCGATAAAATAAGCAGTGGGCGTGCTAGTGCCATTGCAAACAAATAACTTATTCGAGAGATGAGAAATACTATGCTAAGTTTAATGTCACCACCACAGCGATTATCTATTTACAAAATGATTCGATATGAGCGCTTATGTGAACTACTCGTACCAGAGCAAAGACTGAAACAATGTATGAAGCTTTATAAAAATGTAATTGTCTAGGGCTCCATGCTTCCTTTGAGTAAAACAATGATGCATCAAGATAAAGATTTAAGAAATTTAAACGATACATGTAGTAAATAGAAAACTGCAAAAAAACGAACGGCAACACTGAATAAAAGATATAGAACAATTTGATGTTGAAGACGTACAGGAAGATCATGATAGTGAATACAAATTGCTTAATGTAACTAATTTGAAGTGTATCGCTAAGTCTCTTACTAATGATTACAGTCATTTCATCAGTCCCCATTAAAAAGCTTGCTTTCTTAAATTACTAAACCAAACGCCAATTATATGTATTAACAATTTATCGATCTGATCCTATCTAAATGTTTTTCAGTTTACGCACGCAGTTACAGCGGCTGGAAAATTCATATCAGCAGTTTTGATATAACTGGACGTTAGAAGACCAACATTCAATTCATATTAACTGATTACAAGTTCTGTATTTTCTGATCATTCTTGACTGAATTTTTGTTGTTTCCTTGGTCAGGATTTGTCTTACGGTCAGTTATTACTAAGTCGCTCCAAACATTCTGTAGCTTCAACCGATCAATATTATACGGCTGGTTGTGTTTACAACAATCAAAATCACGATCAGTCACACAAAAAAACCGAGACAGAATCCTAATAACACTAGTTCCAAATATATCACTCGATGATGGTGTACAACCTCATCAGTCGCTTTGCCATCATTGCTTAATATTCTTCTTCTGACAACAGTTACACCTACTGAGTTGTTTGACTAGACAGGAATAGTTTTCGCAAACAACTATGTGGAAACATGACTCAACATTTATCTGTGCCGCGTCAGATGTTGATTATTACTGACTGAAATATCTATGATGAAATACATGGAACATGCACGCCAATATTTTCAAAACATAAAGTAATGAAGGCACAGCTGTTATATTTTTTCAGCAAAAGATAATTGGGGGAGCTATGCAATAAGCGAAATAACTTTTTAAAACCCGAAACACTTTGAAATCCGAGACTTTGTCAATTACAATCTACTAAGGGTGATCAATGGTGGCGTGCTTGAATATCTGGGCAACCTGTTCCTGTCATTAGGATATTTCAGTAAGTTATCTGTTTCCCTGTATTTTTTAACACATCATTATGCCTATTAATCTCAAACCTATTCAGGTACGTTTGTGAACAGTTTATGACATTCCGGTGTACAAGTTACAAAGGAAACCCAATCAGAGACATTATGGTTGCTGGTAGTATGTATCGAAAAGAATAAACATTATTCAGATGTCAATTCCAGAATTGCAAACAACTGGCAACACTCAATACTTATCGCAAGGATCGATCAAGAAATAAGAAAAGGAAACTTGTTGACATACTTTGTGCTGAGAATCCCACATTGTGCCAAAAATATATTTAACAAAGCCACTAGTAGTAATAATAATAATAAGACGGAGGAGAAAAAAAAACTATGATCTAAATGATCAATCAGCTTACTTAGTCAACGTATTATGACTAGACAACAATCAAGCTTTAGGATCTAGGACATAGGATTAAAATTTAATCAGTTTGGATGGGATAATTTGTTCCGATACAATAAATCTAGTGACATTGCTCCTAAATGCCCTGGTATGGCCGAGAGTGAGAGAATTAGCTCTTTCTCTCTCTTTCGAAATGCTCTCACATGGTCACGCGTATATAGCCTCTGCCAGGGAAGTCCTACTCATTGCCTTCTCGTATCACGGGTGTTGTTTACGAAATTGAGAGGACGAAAAGCGAGTGTCGGGCGCTTTAACCGGGTTGGTGGACACCAAGGGTCCACCTAGGTGTGTTGGAAGTCCCTGATTCCAAACCAATGGTGAACATGGGCTCCAGTATCCTGAAGGAACAAATGGCGTATGAACCAATCGTTGGTCACTGGCTACCATGGGACTGTATCTCCTTACGTTGCTCTACTGCCTTGTGGATCAGACCTTCGTGTTGAAGGCTCCGAGTGTGGCCCTCTAAAAAAACCACCTGCTTTGATTTGGGCACCCGGGCAGTATCAGAGCCCTCACACACATATGTATTTGGTGCCTCCTTGTACTAATATCTATGTGTTAAAATAAATAAATAATAATAAGACAGCAATCATATAGACTAGTTCTAAAGCAAAAATTTGTATTTCATGTCAGAAATGAATCTTGAAATTCTTTTACATATGGCTGTAAATATTAGAGTTGCATTGTGTCGATTTTTTACTTTGTGAAATATGTTGCCTAAGTTTGCGGATGAATTGTACAGAAAGTTAGCAAGTTCTACTGAGTTTAGGGATGTTCCAGATAAGGGTTAAAACCTGTCTGCCTTCGAGCTTTATAGTCGTAATCACATTGGATCCAAAGATTTTGGAAACTACCTTAGTTCAATTTTTGAACTGATGATCCATGGAAGACTTTAAGCTTAATTAAAAATTAAAACGATTACCAATCGAAAACTGTCGAAAGAAATTATCCAAATCCCATAATTTAACTAACCCGAGTTGGTTTACCTGAGAAACCCGAACAATTACTTTCAAACGTCACTAGATTTATTGTATCGGAACAAATTATCCCATCCAGACTGATTAAACTCTAGTCCTAGGACCTAGATCCTAAAGCTTGATATCAGTATCCTATCCAAGTTATCAGTGGGTAAAAAGCAATCTAAATTTTGTCGGGTGCTATTTATTCTTTTTTAGTCATCGTTAGCCAAGACTTAAAGACTACTGCACATTGCCGTGCAATAGCCGCCAAAGGTTTTAGAACCTTATGGTCAATACGTAGGGCTTGTAGTCATGTCGACGCTAAAATGTTTTTGACTTTTTATACAGTGTTCGTACGTCCCAAACTCGAGTACTGCATACAAGCAGCTAGCCCCTGCTTAAAAATAGACAGTGAGCTTTTGGAAAAGGTCCAGAGAATAGTAACTAAACTGATTCCCGGAATGGCGAAGCTTCCGTATGATGCTCGACTGTCCAAGCTAAACCCATTTCCATTGTCATATCGAAGAACTGAAGGCGACTTAATTACAGTTTTCAAATTACTTAGTGGTAAATTTGCACCTGATATGCCCTAATTTTTCTTGTCTTCCAAAACAGAGAAGTTACGAGGACACTCCAAAAAAGTTCACAAGCCCAGAACAAATTACTTGTCAGCTGACTATCGACTTTCCCATCGAATCATCAACGAGTGGGGTTCATTATCTCAACACGTGGTTGAGGCTCCATCCGTCGACTCTTTCAAAAGAAAGTTGGATCAACTGAGAGGCCACCATTGCCAGGACTAACACAGGCCATCAAGCCTCCTGTCCTTTCCAAACTGAGACTGAAACTTTGTTCGTTGCTTTTATCTGCCGAATAATTGGCCACTGAAGTATTTGTTGAAGTGTTCATTACATACTCCCTAATAATTTTAAAACTGTTTGATCTAGACATTTCATTGAGACAGTCGATAAGTACCACTAACCTTTATAATAAGGTTCACAACTGGCGTGGTTAGTCCGTACCTCGTAAGTGAATTACACAGTACCCATCTTGATCTGATCAGCCATGACCGAAAAACGGATGGCTGATAAGTTACCTTTAAGTTTCATAGGACTTGAGTAATTAACCAGGTGCAGGGTAATCCTAACGCGATGTACACTTGTCAAAGTAAAGAAATTTACATATTATCAAGACCATATGTAATTTTATAAAAATCGGCGAGACTCTAATTTATGGACGAGCTATTCAGAAGCGTTTTAGAGATTTGAATGTTACGGTGCCAACTTCAGTGCCTAAAGCTAACGTACGATCGGTTTACAGGGAATTTTGTACAAAACGTGATAATTGAGCGTCTATAACAAATAAAACGGCGAGACTATAACTTGTGGACGAATCAATCAGGTATAAGTTAACAGGTCTACCATTTTAACGCGAAAGCCTTTCATCCATTTGGCTAAACAGATTTCTGGCATTATAGCTGATGTCAGTTCGTGATGGAAACCCTATATATAATTCTCAAATAAGGCAAATTATGACAATTATCGCAAACTGGATAGTAAAAGCACCAGTAACACTGGCTGCAGCCCGGCGCTACAATATATACGGATGTTTGGCTTGGTTATGTGTATCGTATCGTCATCAACAAGCGGTATTTTGTGTAGTCAACAACCGGAGTGCACATAAACAATATTGAAGCTATGTGGTCGAGTCTGAAAGAGTTCTTGAGACTTTATCATGGCTCCAGAGGCCGACTATTCTGTAGTTGTATGGATGATTTCCTCTACTGCATGCGTTACGATTTTAGAACCTCTGAATCTCTTTCTAACAAGTTTTTGAACCACGTATTAGAATTGTATCCACTTTATTTCCTTGGTTTTGTATAATATATTTTTAATACATACTTACTGTTTGCTGGTTGGCTAATATTTCCTTAAGGTCACTTAATATTCGTTCAAAGGTCATCCATAAATTAGAGTCTCGTCGAAAAATTCATAAGCTAAGACTATATGATGCCTATATTGAGATTATTAAACAGGCCTGTACATTTTTAAAGGTTATTATTGAAATTCAACCCAGTATTCCAAATAACAACACAAGTTTGTATTAAAAAACCGAGGATTTCACATAAGCTCCACATAATATTATAACGTTACTTGATAGGTATCACGTTAGGGTACGTTAGTTAAGTTAGGCTACCCTAACTTACATAGTCTAAACGACATAATGGCGGTAAGAACAACAGGGTCACTCAACATTTCATACTTAAAGTAAGATGTCCAGAAAAATATATTCCATTAGATCACAGCACAGTCGTAATCAGATTACACCGAGAAATACGCCCGTGAACAGCCCTACACAGAATAGAGATCCATAAACTATCGAATACAAACAGTTGAAGATGTACGGCGCATTTTTTTTGTCATATTTCATTAATATCCATCTCTAACTTGCTCTGTACAAATGGTACGAACAATAAGGATGTAAAATAAAAACAACAGATCAGACCTTTCAAGAACTAAGTATCACAACATCAAAAAATAACCCACTCGGTTTCGGTTCACAACGACTTGATTCATTTAGTTTAAACGATACTAATGTTTCCGTTGCGTCAACTTGTCTAGTTGAATATTCGAATAGCGTAGGCAGTGCGTTTTGATTAGTAGCTTCATCCGTGATATCGAGAACTTCATCTATTTTTTGTTGGGCACTTTTCAAGGCTGTGATCGCAAATTTTGAAATGTTGCCTGCTTTCTCCAATGAATTCCACCAATTCATCTCATAGCTAGCTCCGTCAGTAACCTTGAGGTAGAGAACAAATTTGAGTGATTCTTCTGCCAATATTCAATTTTACAGTTATGTATGCATATTAATTTGCTCATAATCGCATGCTAGCATTTCCATTTTCTCCACTTCTTTGTGATATTCACGTTCTTTCTTCACATGAATATTACACTTCCATATTATGCACTAACCGCTCACGTGAAATCGTACTGTCAGAAATTGTACGAGTTTTCTTTGCTACATTTATTGACGTTCACAACTAGCTTCTTTAGCGTCAGTTTTAGAAACAAGTATTTTTTAAACAGGTGTGCTGTTTTTCACGGGGAGGCCTTGCGACGCACCATATCAAGTCCACATGGATTATTCTACCTACCGGAAAGTCAAATCAGCTTTTTCTACCTGAGTCACGTTTTGAATTTCTTAAGTATCCGCTTATTAGCAATGTCTGTCTTATATGAGCTCATGTGTGTTCAATGATTACCCTACCCATCATGTGCCTATGATTTAATGTCGTCCAACCATAAATATTATGTTCCACCGAACACACCATAACTAAAGGCGCTCAGTCATGCATCTGCACAGTTTATTAGTGGTTGTGCCGTGCCACTCATACCTTGAAATTACTCTTATCGGTTCTGATTGACTTAGTGCTGCAGGGGTGAAGTTATGTAATGCACTACTTAAAAAGAGACAAATGGAAACGAGGCGCGAATCACATAGAAGGCCTCACATGTTAGGAATCGAGAAGAGTTTGGGCTTGCTGAATTAGAAAGCAAGGGTGTTACAGGAGAACTGAAAATATTTAATCGATTAAGAACTGCAGTATTATATATTAATAAGTTTGTTGTTTTGGGTGTATATGTTTTGCCCAACTTTTAAACTTGTTCGTTCATATCTTTGACATCGGACATTATGGTTTCACTCTGTTCGATTTCGTATTTTGGAAGTTTTGCACTGGCAAACCAAAAATTGAACGACGATGTGTTTAAGTTGACCACATATAATTTACAAATAAACTATCTTACCTGAAATGGAATTCGATTCTCCTGTTATTTGAGGTCATAAGCTACGAGTGGATCAATCGACCGTGCTGCAATAACTGGTCGATGAGTTTAAGGAGATGTTCCACAATATTATGAATAATGTTGGTCTGCCGAGAACTGATGTTGTATATTTTGATGTACAGCCTGATCAATATCACTGCTTTTTGGTCAGTTTACTGACATTATCGAAAATAAGTTGTCCGATAAAAGTTAAATGTTATATCTGCTGTACTAGTTAGAAGGAAAAATCAGGATGGCGATCTGGCTTATTTTTACTCAGTAATTTGGACTATGATAGGGCAAAACAATTTTCTTATTATCTTTTTAAAAGGGAGCACCTTGTTGCCTATTAAATAATTACGGAATTACCTTGAAGATGCCATATGTATTCGGAGTTTGAAAACGCTTTTGCCAGTAACACCTTCTATATGAAGCGTACCCACCAAGTGAAATCAAAAGACAGAAGCGAGGGGGTTTGAAGATATATTCGATAAGCTATCAATATGTCGAGGATCGTCTGATCTAATCTGGCTAGCGATTGCAGTAGATGTTGAGCACGGAGTTCCCACTCGTGATCTGGTTGAGCTCCTCCAGGTAGGTGAGTCCATTAAAACATGTGATCAGCATCCAATGTCGAAAACTTACAGAGCTATTTATTTCGGGGATTTATTTACAGCTACAGATCACTCCGCCCCTAGTGGGATGGTGATGACCCTAAGACGTGGCCAGCCAGAAGTTTAAACCCAACGAGTTTTGTCGTTGGTAAACACTCTTCTGATAGCTTGCTAGGTTAAGCAGCGTCTGGTCGTCTTTCCTTATTATTAGGGACCATGAAATACAATATAGTAAAAAAATAATGTACAATAAAAATTTTTGGTTACTCATAAACTTTATCGTTCTTTTTATTGTCTTTTCCAGCCGTCCTGGAAAAGAAAAAAAGAAAATGTGAATGCATGTGGAAATAAACTCGTACGGGCTTAAAGGCACAAAATTGGCGAAAAAAGGTAAATAACGTTAAAGCGATTTTTACAGTGCTTTTTGTTGTTTCTTTAAAAACTTTTAATATACATATTAGCCAAATAATAAATATATATAAACATAAGCATATAAAAATTTTTATTATTATATATAATGCCATGGAAAATCGAGATGAAACAAAATGTTAACTAGTGTCTTACGTGCAATAGTCGTTTAAATGTTTTGGAAACCTTACTCTTCTTCCAGAACGCGTTGTTTTAAGTTTTTTAGATACTGTCGAAGTGTCATTGAGCGTGTTGGTTGTCGGATGAGGTATTATAAGTGTCGGAGTCGTGTCGTTCGATTGTAGGTAGGATTTCTTCTAAATACGCTACTTTGAGGCGATCGATACCGATGCTATCGGTGGTTCCGTTCTTATCGGCTATATAGTACTTGGGTTCGCGTTGAACAACTTGGAACGGTCCTTAGTATGCTGATTCGAGAGGTTGTCGATGAGTCTCGACGTCCGAAGACGTGTCTACTATATCGTAAGTCAGGTTGAACGAACACATCAGTTGATTGTGGTCTAATGGAAACAGGTTTAATTGAACGCATTGCGTTTGTAAGCCTGTTCGTGTAGGAGGCTAGATCCATGTTCATTTAAGAAGATGAAGGATCCAAGAATCCTTCTGGAAGTCGAAGTGTCGTTCCATAAACGAGTGGAGCCGCAGTGTATTCAATGTCAGCTTTCACTACAATGCGAATACATAGTAAGACGAGTGGAAGAACGTCAGTCCAGTGATAAATGTTTGCATCTGATGGTGAAGCTTTTTGTTGTCAGTGAAAGCGTTCTACCAACCCGTTTGCTTGTGGGTGGTAGGCGGTCGTTCGGAAGTGAGTGTTTTCTAATAGTGAGGTCAGGCAACGGAAAAGTTCGCATTCGAACTGGCGTCCGCGGTCTGTAGTGATGGTTGAAGGGCAACCGAAGCTTTCTACCCATCGTTCGACGAAGGAGCGGGCCACTGTTTCAGCAGTGATGTCCTTGATAGGTACTGCTTCTGGCCATTGAGTGAAACGGTCTACGCAAGTGTTGGGGACGATAGATCCCCAAACTCATATTTTAAATTTTATCTTACCGATCATCTTATCGATTAAATGTTAGATATTTTTATTGGGGTCAATTGATGAACTATCGATTAAATGCGCAAATAGGTCAATTAATGAACTCATTGATTAATGTTTAAAAATTTTCTATCGATTGTAAATAATTGTATAAATACGCTTGACTTGTATGCTTGATCTGATCTGCCTGCCTGACTTGTTATCTGCTGTTTGTCTGTAGAATACACTTTCTACACCTTACCCAGACCTTTTGATCGAGTTAGCAGAGTTGGGGACAACGGACCAGAATAGACTATCGAGATTCTGAATCCTTGATCCGATCGATAAGTCAATGTTTTATAATCGGCTGTCTCTTTGAGACATGACAGCAAGTTGAAAGATAAACGTATCCATTCGAATCTGGTAACGGTCCTGCCAAATCCAGATGAACATGGTCGAAACGAGCATCAGGAGTTTTAAATGAGCCTGAGGGACATTTGTTATGTCTACCCACCTTAGATTTCTGGCAGCTTACACAAGATCGTTCTCGATCCCTCACGTCTTTATTTATATCAGGCCAGCAAAATCGTTCTGCTATGAGCTTGATGGTTGCACGAACATCTGGATGAGAAAGTTTGTGTAACTTATTGAAGACGTTGCGTCGATAACGTTTCGGCAAGATTGGGCGATCCCTACCTGTAGATGTGTCACACAGTAAGGTTACCTTCCAGATGATCGAACAGCCATATAGCTCGTGGCAGAAACATTTTGCTGACCTGGTATGAATAAAGACGTGAGGTTTTGGGCATGTTCATGAGGTGATCTGTCACGACAAATTTCCCTCAAGCTCTTTCTCAACTCTCGATGCTCGTTTCAAGCATGTTCATCCGGATTTAGTAGGACCCTAAACAGATTCAAACGGGTACTCATACCTCTTAACGAGTGTAAACTTTTTAATACGATGGTCAAGGACAATACTACTACATAATCATGCTTAGAGACTCAGTTGCCCCTCTGCCTGAGCTAACCGATGTTTTTGTCCAACCTGCACAATGAATTATAACACGTCATTGTACTTCACGATTTAATAATAAGACTACTCGAAATTACATACGGAGTGGCTTTAAAGTCTTTCATTGCAAAATCACGCGCTATATCACTGTATGATGAGAACTAAAGGTAACATCAACGTTAACCATCTCATAAGCTTTTACCTAGAAGGAAATCTTAATTCTACTAACTTTCCTCTTGAATGATGGGATAGTGCAAGCCCACAGATAACGATGCCGTCTCTGATAACCAACGAGCTCGCCGAAACGTGTCTGGCCCAGAACAGCGCGTTGCAGAAGGACAGTAAGGTTAGTGGAATACTTGAAGGACTACTGAACTCAGGAAATTGTTTACGTTTGGGCTCTGTTTAAGTTCTTGCAATACACAACTATCTGATTGTATTCCTATTCTTCATGTTATGGTTTCTAAAATGAAAGTGTATTTCGTAATATGTTTATGTGTATAGCATTTTTTGCAAAAAGCAAAACACCTTGTGTCGAAATTTTTCATGCTGTTGCATGATATATGTATCCATTTACGCCAGGTGTTCTAACGCATCTACAATTGTATTTCGACACGAACTTACATTTCTATTTCTTTTCTTTTCCAGGACTACAGGAAAAGATTAAAAAAAAAGAATAATACGATTGGTAAAATTTTTCGTTGCATGCTCTTTCCTATTGCACCACATAGCTCCTTAATTTAACGAAAGTAGACCACGTGCTTCTGGACACAGCACGCTGTCAGAACAGTGTTTGTCAACAGCAAGCTCACCGAGTTTAAACTTCTGGGCGGCCACGCCTGGAAACCAGCACTATCCCAATAAATGAGGAATGAGCTGTGAAATCGAACAACGTTGATGCCCATCTTCTGTGTTTCAACGGACACATCA